AGCTGTCGGCTCCTTAGGGAGCTCTGTGAGTTGTGTCCCGGTGTCAGCAAATGAGAGCCCAAGCTACTGAAAGGTGCTTGCCACCTTGGAAGCTTCTGAAATGTTCAGAGTCGAGATTCATGTGGTATTAAGGGGCTCCTCGGTGCTCTCCACCTGTAGGGTATTTTGTGTTTGACCACTTCCTCAGTTAAGGGTCGCAAGGACCTACGCCAGTGCATGGTGGCCTTTGAGATGTCAGGGTAGAACAGCAATGAGTACTGTCAAAATGGAGAGGGGACTTTCTCACGAACACACCCTACTTCAAGAGTGTGCGTGACGTAGTTGCGGTGGTGAAAGGTTTAAAGTTCATTATTTGTCTGCACTAGACCGGAAATAATGGCAAAATCCCCATTAACACCACCCACACTTAGGCATAATAATATAACTATTACTTAATAAAAATAAAAAAAACACCAAATATAACTTAGCACAACACTTAAGAAATTGCAAAACACTAATTAGTCTGTTCAGGTAATGTGATTATTTACCAGACTAAGGCAGAACTTAATAAAGGAATATTTATTATGAGCAAAAAATAGTCACAGTGCATACAAAAATATGGATGACAATCAAATTAGTTACACCAACAACATATAAAAACAAAAGTGATAAAATAACAGAAGTCCTAATTACTTACTCAGATTTTCAAAGTAAAACTTCTGCCCCAGGGGATGTCAGCATTACTGTTGATCCAGCATGCAGAATAACATCACACCTAGGACTAAAGATAACATTTATCTGGACCTTAGAATGGACGGACTTAACGTACCTGAGAATACTCCAAATACTTGCCGATGTCAGGGACACAGAAAGAGACACAACAATGGAGAAAGCCAATAGTCAAGGATACCAGAATTCAGGGAAGTCAGGCTTAAGCTTAACGTTTTTCCAATGCATGCGGTCTTCCGCAGCCGCCATGCGTTGTGCGAGTGTCAGGTCATGTTTGAGTGTAGCCAGCTCCTGTTCCAAGCCAGTAATGCGAGTCTCATGGACAGCTGTAGTTATCTCAATATCGTTGTGGCTTACGGACACACCGCAGATTTCCTCCTTGAACAAGGTGATGTCTGCCACTATATTGCAACGAGGGCTCTTCACCATCCCTAGGAGTGGGTTCTGTAACGGATCACCTGGCACCCCGACTGGGTACCTCCATTGAAGATTGCTCCTAGCGCTTCCTGAGGACTCCAAGCACTGCAGCAGACACCACAACCACCAAACTGGAGAAGCATACGAATGCTCTCAAGCATAAGAATGCTGTAAGCAGCTGAACAGGAAAAGCATACAATCAGCTTACACTCCTAGCAATCAGCATACAATCCAATTCCCCCAATAACGAGACAACACTTCGTTTTGAGGTAAAGCAGAACTGACTGTACTGGCACATACAGCCTCTTTTATTCACAATCCACAAACATAGTACTGCCCACAGGGTTTTTGAAAACAACCAATAAACACGTACAATACACACAGACACTCCCACACAAAATCCTTCCCTCTGCCTGTGATACAATTACCTTACACAATGGGTAAAGTAATTATCACCAGCAGAGAAATACAGTTTTTCCACATTATTCATAACTTTAAAAGTATGCATCACATTCACATACACACACTTACATTTTCCGAATCAGCATACTCCAAATACAAACATATGTCAAAATCATCCAAATTGGTCTATTGGTTCAAAAGATAGATCGAAGTCCTTTGTGACCAAATGAAGCATGGCTTTTCTGCCCAAAACCAGTTCCACAGAGTCTTCTATCCTGGAGATAATTGGGAAGTAATCCAATTATCTCCAAGGACAGAGGCAAAACTCCATTAAGCACATGGCAGTAAAAAGACAGTAAAATACAATCAAATACACAAGGTTACATTTATTACATAAAATACAGACATGCAACATATCCCCAGATAGCTTAGGTCTGAACGCACATTATTACTGAATGGTGATAAGACCACACACATACAGTTCAATTGCCATGGAGCCAAAGTCTTTTATTACACGAATAGGCTCCATGGCATAGCTATCTGGGTTAAATGAGTTCATTCAGTAAATCCGAGAACCTACCGAACCCCAGGGCAGAAATACATGAACAGACCTTTCTGCATAGGAAAATAAAGTATTTAAATGCCGGTCCATAGTCAAAAGGCAGCAGGCAGGCAACCAGGCTCCTCCAGTGCACAGTGGCGAGGTTGGTTCCGCCACAGGTTCATTCTCCTCCATTCCACCGGCAAATCTTGCAAGAGACTCCTCACTAAATGTCCATGAGGGCCCATCCGAAAGCGGGCGCCATAGCAGGCCTCAGGGGATTTTGCAGACGTTTGCCGATATCGGTGGTAATTGGGGGTTTATCCACTCTGTGTTTTTTGCTCTTCCACCCATACGTTTGGAAGTTGGTTTACAGTTACACACTGTGGGAAGGTTTGAGAAGTGAATAGGTAATTACAGCCATTTATTCTCCAATTGGCACGGAGCTCTGTGGAAACATGTCTTGTCAGTATGGTTGCTAGCTCATCCCCAAAGAAAGAAATATTAAATTATTTAAGACTGGGAGTTTTTTTTTTTAATTAAACATCTATATACTGGAAGCTCAGAAACAGTAAACAATTAGCAAACCTTACTGGAACAAGATAATTATAAGGATTTCATGTCAAAATGTATACAAACTGTCATCTAGAGCTGGACGTACTGCTATTATGATGTCAAGATTAAAATTGAACAGCATTAATGACAATCATCCCTTATCAATACATCCATACATATACACGGTATCAACTTTAGATAAACTCAATTCAAGATACAAAGCAGATGGTACTGGGTAACGGAAAGATTGATGAAATTGAAGGGCGATCTTAGGGATACAGATAATTGTTATTGGAGATGTGGTAAAGACAAAGGGAGTATAATGCATATTTGGTGGAGCTGTCCACTCATAATAAGATTTTGGAAAAAGTATTAAGTTCATAGAGGATATAAGCAGTAAGGTAATAGGAATGAGTCCAGAATTGGCCTTACTACATTTAAAGATCAACAAATTACTAAATTACACTCATCCAATAATTTAACATGTATTAACTGCAGTTCAATTAATAATGAAAAAGAACTGGGAAAACAGGTAATATTCCAAGATTTGAGAATTTGATTGAGCAAATTATCTGACAATTAAAAAAAAAAAAAAAATCATTGTTTTTTGTGGCAAAAAAATTAGAATCGATTTTGAGCATACGCCATCAATATTCAACATGTAGTATAATTTAATCTTCCTTTGTGAATCTTCCTTTGTGAATCTCTCTGCAATGCTTTTCTATGGAGATTCTAATTACGTGGATGTCCTCTAGCAACCAAATGTCGCCCAGCAAGTAGGAGGTGCCTCTAGTGGCTGTTTGATTGACTGCCACTAGAGGCAGTCTTAGTCCTGCAATGTAATAAGTCCAATAAGTGTATTAGTCCCACTTCAATAAGTCTGGGTGCCTATAGTGTCCCTTTAAAAAACTGAAATTGTCATACATCTCTTTTACAGCACTATAACTTCACAAAATAGTGTCTACGTCATCCAGTGTCAAAATAGTGTCTACCCAGCAAAAATACAACATGTATGTAAAAAATGACATTTGTTTTGGAGGGAGCATGACTCCACAAGTCATGTGACATCTGCTCCCAGCTTTCTTGCAGCATTCGACAGCATTTATGTTGCCTTTTGGGAGCGACTAAGGCAACAAGAGGATCTTGGATTGAAGCACCCAAAGAGCGTTGAACATGGAGCTGGGCCCAACATCCCTGCCACTTGCCCTTCGCAGGAGAGACCACAGGAGGTAGACCACCCTGGCCTACTACGGAGACGAGGCACCTGAGAAGCACAAAGCATTGAGGACGTCTCCTGTCTCGCTCAAATCCCCCAGTTGTGAAGGGGACTGTTCTGGAGCAGGCTTGTCCCGGTACACCTTCACCCACATGGAATCCCCGCCAGCTGTACATCTAGGGTGCCTGGAGGCAGTCCTCAGTGGAGGCACCGGGCTCTTTGCTGGAATCAGCCTCGCGCAGGGGCATCGGCTAAATGACTCACCTTGTATGCAGTTCCTCGCCCATCTTGCAATCTCTAGGACTACCTACCCATGTATGGTATGCTTTACCTGCAACCTACCTGTTGATTTCTGGAACCCAAAAGGGGATTCAGTGCTCATTCTTAGTCTGATGTGGCTTATTAGCATGTGTTTTTCTTTTTTTCATGTTTTATTACTATTTTACACTAGTGCATCACATGCCTTGCTTACATAGTCTAGAAAATTACATGCACACTAGCATAGTATGTCTAGAACGTGGCACACAATCAGTCACTCTCACTGCTAATTCATTGCATAATCTGCTTCAGACTCACTCATATTATCTTGGAATGTTTTGTGCTTCATTAATGATTAGGCATGATGACTCAGCATGAATAATTTTCCTATTTTTTAATTTTCTTCTTATTTCTTTAAAAATGTTTTACTCGTTTCATATGTTTAACTAGCATGTAATTTAGTGCACATAAGCATCTCTAACTCACAAAGTCTAGTATTTTTGTTTTAGAATTCATATAGCCTCGTATTCAAACATGATAGACTAGCATGTTTATTAAATCAATATATAAAAATTGTGCTACATCATCAAAATGCCACGTAATGGGGGGTGGGGCTGGACCACCATGCTGGACGGTGGCAAGAAAGATCAGCTCCTGCAGTCTATTAATCTTTAAGCTTATAACCTACAATTTTCAACCTACTTGCCGACCAGCAGCTGTGGCCCTCAATGTGCCTAACAGTGCCCTGCAAGCAGTCAGAATCTATGTGTACCAGCCCTTTAACCCACCCTCTGGACCCGTGAGGGTGATCTCAGTCTTCACCCTGTGGCCCCACTCACCACAATACATCCAAGACTCAGCGATAATACCATCCCGACATGCAGCCCTGGCTCCTTACCTAAAATGGCGGAGGCCATGTGCGCAAGTGGCGCTGCCAGTGGGACCACCAGCACTTACTCTGAATTCACCGCACTCGGCTCGGCTTATTGGCACAAGCTGGCCCGATATATACAGCAGCCTGCTAAATGCACGGCACATAGTGCCCCAGCACGACGCTTGCCTCTTTAAACCCAGAGCAGGGCCTCGGCTCCGGCTCGGGAGCAGGACCAAGGCCGGCAGCAGAGTTGGCGGCACATCAATCCAGCGCTCAAAAAACAATGGCTGACATCGGTAACTCACCCGCAAAAACCTACCCTCAAGTCGGTCCAGGGAGCCAGTTTCCAATGCCAGACACTGCATCCTCTCCCTGGTGTGCCGTACAGCACCTCCCTGTCAGCCATGATGAAACTGCGACGCACACAGACAGCTGGCATCCAGCAGGACTACACTAAGCTAATGGAGGGTATCAAACATCCAAGAGAACACTTGGCAGATATATCCCAGGGACCCACTTCTACTCAGTATGTGCACTGCAAAATCGTGAGCTCTGTGATGTGCCAACTTTACTTCACTGAGCATATCCATGATTAACTATAGGGGTCAATGGGGTGAAATCATCTCCCACAGTCATTGCAGCTACCCAGCTTATTACAAACAAAATGCATTGACCTCGATATCCTTCTTTCCCAGTGGGTATAAATGAGACGATATTCAAAGAGCCTTTTCGACGTGAAAACTAATTTCCAGCAACATAGATTAAAAACCAGCACCGGGAGAAGAACATTACACACTTTGAAAAAGACCGATAGGTTGAAACGCATTAGTGTTATTTGATTTGTTATTTGTTTTATTCTCAGCCTTTGTAGCCGGTATTTTATTGTATTATTTTTTATTTGAAGTAAAATTTCTAAATTACCTTTTTGGATATCGTCTCATTTATACCCACTGGGAAAGAAGGATATAGAGGAGTTGTGTTGAAAGCCTTTCATAAGCTATATTATTCGATTGCTGATACAGCCAGAGCCTGGTTCCTAAGGCTCAGAAAAGTGTGAGTGACCCATTGCATCTGCCATTGATCAAATTATATTGTCAGACAGTATTATGCTATGTCTGTGCTTTATACTGTTTTATTACAGATGGTCAGGAGGTCTCACACCACTAAGTATATATTATTGTGTATTTTGCACCCCCTCACTGTGTTTGTTTTTTATCTATTTATGTGGTGTCTTTGGAGTGATTTTTAGACACTCGGGGTTGTTGCTATTACTTTCATTACTTAGCGCCAACCCATTTGTATTTTAACCAGCTCTTAGTTAAAGGACCACTATAGGCACCCAGACCACTTCAGCTTAACCCCTTAAGGACACATGACATTTGTGCCATGTCATGATTCCCTTTTATTCCATAAGTTTGGTCCTTAAGGGGTTAATGAGGTGGTCTGGGTGCCTGGTCCATCTAGTGTTAACCCTTTTTTCTATAAACATTGCAGTTTCAGAGAAAATGCTATGTTTATAATAGGGTTAATCCAGCCTCTAGTGGCTGTCGGCTGTCTCATTGACAGCCGCTAGAGGGCTTCCGCGCTTCTCACTGTGATTTTCACAGTGAGAAGACGCCAGCGTCCATTGGAAAGCATTGTGAATGCTTTCCTATGAGACTGGCTAAATGCGCGCTCAGCTCCTGCCATGCATGTGCATTCAGCCGAAGAGGAGGAGAAGAGGGAGGATAGGAGGAAAGCTCCCCGCCCGGCGCTGGAGAAAGAGGTAAGTTTAACCCCTTCCTCTCCATCCAGCCCGGCGGGAGGGGGACCCTGAGGTTGGGGGCACCCTTAGGGCACTCTAGTGCTAGGAAAACGAGTATGTTTTCCTGGCACTATAGTGGTCCTTTAAATATCTTTCCTTTTATTATAACATGCATGAGGAATAAAAATTAATGGTATTTTGTATTTTGGTAATATACAAATGTAATGTACCATCATTTAATGTATATGACTTCCTGCAACTTTTTTTTCTATGTTGATTAATATTCTTGTCCTGGTGGTTGTAGCACTGCAATATTCTTTGTATACTCAAGCACAGCAAAAATAAAGAATTATTATTTTTTATTTTTTTTTTATTTTTTTACCACAAATTTTGACGTATATTGATGAATAAATGGTAGCAAGGTAAGGCACAATATAAACCATATAAGATACCCTGGTGTGTCTACTTTCTCAAATGGAGTTATTTCAACAATCAAACTGCTATAATGCCGCAAAATGAGCAATAGGCCCATCAAATCCATCTATGAAAATTCTAACCATAGAAACTAAAATAGTCTGGTCTCTTACATGGCATTGTAGCTTGGTAGAATAGTAGCAAAGGTATACAATGGGGGTATTGTTGTACTTAGCAGATGTTGCTGAACTCAATATGGGGTTTTGTACAGGAATAGCGCCAACTTCTAAAGTTGTTTCACATTGAAATTTTACTTTACTCCTTGTATTTTGTTACCTCTAACTCTCAAAATAAACTGAAATCTTAGACATATAATATACTCTGTAAATCAAGACACATTAATTTATTTTGAATTACTTTCCCTAAGCTGGACATATTATGCACGCATTATTATTGCCAATGCAAATTGCAGTTAAACAAAAAACAACAAAAAGCAAAAACTGCTCATTTCCTTAAAGGACACTATAAGCACCCAGACCACTTCATCCCTGTCCCCCTTAGTCCTGCAATGTAAAACAAGAGTCTATCAGCCAATAGAGGCGCTTTCGGCATTTTATCAGACTCTATGTCGCTTAAGTGTCACTGGACATCCTCACAATCTGCATGAGGACATCCAGCATCAGTGAAATCAATGCTTTACTAAAGGGAGGGCCTAATGTGCTTGCAGCGCATGCGCATTAGGTCCCCCTGTTGGATGACATCAGAGGAGGCAGAACGGCAACCCAGTGCCAAGGGAGATCGGCACTAGAATCAGGTGAGCAATTAAAAAATGTTTTAACCGTTTCAGTGCTAGAGGGGGGGCCGCAAGGTAGATGGGTACCAGAGGGCACTATAATGCTAGGAATACAGATTCGTGTTCCAAAGGCCATAGAATCCCTTATGGGGTTAGGAGACATACGTGAAGATGCATTTGGGGGTTGGCAAAATGCATTATTGTCTGTGTAGCCAAACATCTTTGCATAGGTTCTGTATTTCCCATTGCTTTTTCTATTTTTCTCTATGGAATGTTTTTCAACTTGCTTGAAGGTTTCCTAAGCCAGGGTAACTGATTGGATACAGACAATTGTAAATTCCTTTAAAAAGAGTAAGCACCCTATTTCTTGAAAAAATATTTACATCACAAAACAATAGTTGGAATGACAATAAATGCTACTTATTGAGGATATTTTGAGTATCTTATCCCCAATAAGTAGCATTTATTGTCATTCCAACTATTGTTTTGTGATGTATTACTTTTGTCAAAACCGACATTATTGTGATATGAAAGTGGTCATTGTATCTGATAATTACTGCTTGACTTTCTGATCTGTTCTTTTAAATAAAGATTTTTTTGATTTTTTTTTTAAATGCACATTTGATGGTAATGGGAGTTTCCATCCAAACTTTCTTTAGTAAAGGAGAAAATTTTAAAATCGTTTTGCAATGTGGAACTTTTGATACATACAAGCTACTTTAACAGACTTTTAATACACAGAAAAAGATGTTGACCCTCCTTTGAAAAAAAAAAAAGAAAAGAAAGAAGATACTTCTCAAATCCTTTCTAATAAATTGTTTTTTTGGGTTTTTTTTTACCGATGGATAGTGGGTATCGCTTGTCTGTAAGCCCTAATTAATGATGCTATAGGTAGAGGAGGTGGAGTATGTTTACAGTAGCCAACAGCCCTGACAACTGAGCAGCAGTGAGGAGGGAAAAGCAGGGAAAGTGCGGGAGTGGGGTCAGCCTGTGACTAGGAGGAGCTGTATTCACAGCAAATGCAAACAGGAGCTGGAACAGTGACAGTGTTTAGCCATGGCCAGCAGCAGCACACAGGGTGGACGGAGGAAAATCTCAGAACTGCAACTCAAGGTATTTAGCAGCAGAACTATTGTGTATAAACAAGAACTTTTCATCTAACTGGTGCATTTCTAATATTATTATTTTTAGCTACAGAGGATGGGGGCACTTTACACAGCCATGCCTTTGTGTCTGCCAGGGGAAATTGTTAGAATAAAAGTGTAACAAAACAAAACCTACAAAGTGATTTTTGTGTGAGTTCTAAAAAAAACAAAAAACAACACACACACACAAAAAAAGCACGTGTTCTCATTCACTTGCGGAATGGATGGTGGTGCAGTGTGTAACCTGGCTGAGCTCGGTTACCATGGAGACAGGCTTGGTTTAGGCTTCCTAAGGTTGTAGTTAGTATGAAGCTCCCTCCCTGTCTATCTGTGAACCTTGCATGTTGCATGGAAATTGTTTTTCGTCTGCAACAGATTTTAGACTTTTGCCTGAATAAAAAAGTGTGCAGATCTCTCCTTTTAACTCAAGTTACTCTATTTACAAACTGACTGCAAAATCAAACCATGAACAGGAAGGCAAAGTACAGGGCAATAGGTTAAAATGGATTCCTTTGAAATTTAAAGAAGTCATGTTATACTGCTGGTGTATGTCACAGTGTGGGCTTTGATTGCTCTTGGTGGCATGTATTCTGTTGCATGGCAGGGCATCAAGTTTTGAAAGAAGTTATTTATTTATTTTTTATGAAGTATATGTAAAAAAATAATGAGAAACTCATCCCTAACTTTAGCATATGGCGGGTTCCTACAGCCATATACATACACCTGGGGTCAGACAGTGTTTGAAAACTGACAGCTAGTCTCTATGATCTTCACTGCTTCGCTCCCTGCACAGAAGCTGGGAAGACCATAGAGACTAACTGTCAGTTTTCATACACTGTCTGACCCCAGGTGTATGTATATGGCTGAAGGATCCATTTATATGCTAAAGTTAGGGATGAGTTTCTCATATTTTTTCACATATACTTCATTTAAACAAAAAAAAAAATTCTCTTAAAACGTGATAAAAGGTTTATTATATTAAAAACTGTTTTGAAGTGACAATTGTCCTTTTAACAACTGTATATCTTTTTTAGTACTTTTAGGAAGGGTTTTCATTGGGTAACAAGTGAGATAGTCATGGTAATGGCAGGCGGGACAAATGAGGAGCAGTCTCATGCAGTTTGGCAGAGCGAAGGCTGGTGGGTAAGTATCGGGTTGGGGTTTGGAGAGGCAGCACGAGCAGGGTGTTAGGCGTAGGGAAGCTCGTGCCCTGGGACGGTTCTCTGATTGGTAGATCGCAGCGCAAGGGAACCGCGGAAGTATAAATTTAAAATTAATTTACGTCAACTCGTGCCAGACAATTAAAGGTTGGCTGCGTGTAAGTATTTGAGCTGCAGCAACACCCATCCTCCCCCTTTTCAGTTATGATTTTGTCATGACCTTATTATGGGATATGAGTCACCCTCATGGGCATCACAGGAGGGTGGATTTGGTTTTAATATATATTTCTGGATTTAAGGGGCTGAACATGGAAATGGTTAATGAGTTATTTGGTTTTGGTTAAAAGTTATGGTTTATTATTATGGATGTTGATGTTTAAATTGAAATTGTGAAATCCGTAATAAAGGTCACAGCCATTCTCCAAATGTTTCAATTTATCAAAATAAACATATTAAAGGAAGTTTTTTTTTTTAATTATTATTATTATTATACTTTGTATCATTAAGAATGCAACATTTAAGCCCCGTGTTTCACTAACAAACAACAAAGCATACCAATTGGATGATAGTAATCACAATCTTTAGGAACTGAATAAGGATAGAAGTGGTTTTTAAAAAGTGGGTGAAGGAGGGGAGGGGGTGGATTCCATCAAACATGCATCTGGCACGCACAGGGAAACCAATACAATTTTAAAATATTTCAAGGAACGAGAGAACAGCTAAGCATACTTATGTTTATTAATAGAAGATTCACAACATTTTTTAATTTTAGTTTAATGCAATGCTGTCACCGTCCGTAGACTTTGCCGAATTTGCAATGTCCCCCGACGGTCACTTTGCTGAGGGTAAAAAATGATGTGTCTGAACTTGTCTCTTGCGGACAACGCCATCTTGATCAGGCTGCTTTTCTCCAACTCCTGGTGTTTCAGCGCCAGGAGCCGATGTCCCTGCTGTACTCTCGCGCATCCTCAATAGACACAGTGAGTTCCTTGCAGCCATCACTGATGACGGTTGCAGATCTCCGGCTTGTGTCAGGTGGAGGAGAAATACAGAAACAAAGTAGTCCCTATTTTGTCTCTATATATCTCTTGATTGGGATAGGATTTCAGTGAAATTCCAACACAGTCATAAAGAGTATTTCATAAATATTCTCTCTTTATGAAATATAAATTTTTAACGTAGGGGTAATACTGCTGCATTAAAGGAACACTTTAGCTTGATCTTATAGTGTTAAAAACACTGCTTAGGTGGCCACTCCCCTAAGACTTACTTTTTTTCCAGCACCGTATGGGTCTGTCGGCACTTGCCCTGCCCTGATCCGTCTAATTGGCTGCGAGCACCAGAATTGACAACCTCAGCCAATCTAATGCTTTCCCATAGTAAAACATTGGAATGCTAATGCGCACACTCAGGAAAACATTGCTCTGCACTAGGGATGCACCGAAATGAAAATTCTGAGCCGAAACCGAAAATTCAGGATGCCCTTGGGCGAAAACCGAAACCCTACCCCAGTGTTCCTTTTCCCTTCCCTGTCCCTTAGTCCCCCACCCTTAATGTTCCTCTATCCTCCCCTTTAGTGTTCCTCACCCCTCCCTCTTTTTTAGTGTTCTTTCCTCTCTCCTTCCCAGTCCCATAGTTCTCTCTCCCCATAGTGTTCTTTTCTCCTCCCTCCCCTGTCCCAAAGTGTTCTGAATATGCAGCACTGACCCAGGAAGCACCTCTAGTGGCTGTCTGAGTGACTGCCACTAGAGGTGTTACTAGGCAGTAATGTCAACATTTTCAGAGAAAAGGCAGTGTTTACAGCAAAAAACATACAGGGACTGACTATACTCACCCGAACAACTACATTAAGCTATAGTGTTCCTTTAAATGAGGTCAGCAGAGATAGACTTAGTCTTTATTAGTAGGTGAATAATGGACTTCCTTAAACCATTTATACACTTAGAGGATGTGAATGATGATGAAGGTCATATATCAACAAGTTTGTACTATTAAAATGAGTAGTATATATTCTTCTTACATTCAAGCTGTAATGCAGTTACTTGGTAACTGAGCTTTTACATTCTCTGTTCTAGATTGATGAGCTACAGAACACAAACAAGGGACTGGAGCAACACATCTTACATCTCGAGGAAAACCGGGAGGTTGTAAATAATCAGGTAGAAGACCTCACTCGAAAAAATGAACACCTGTGCCTGGAGCTGTCAGAAATAGACAAGCTAGCTGAGCAGCTGGAGAGAGATAAGGACAAAGCTCTGACTGTTGCTCTACAAGAACTTGATGATTCTAAGGTAGACTTGGGAAATGGATAAACAACCAAAAGTATTTAATTGCATTAATCTAAATGAATGGTTAAAAAAGTGCTTGATTTATACACTCCATTTTTATTTGTGAACAAGTCACTGTTTGTAATATGTTTTCCAATAATAGCAAAGTGGGAGACAAAACAATGTTGTTACATTGTAGGGCAGACATGTTTAACACAGAAAAGCTCTGCAGTTGGCATTTTATCTTAAAGGGACACTATACTCACCAGAATAACTACAGCTTGATGCAATTATCCTGGTGTCTATAGCCTGCCCCTGCAGGAGTTTTAATGTAAACACTGCCCTTTCAGTGAAATGGCAGTCACTCAGATGGCCACTAGAGGTGCTTCCTGTGTTATTGCTGCACAATGTGCAGCACTGACGTTTAGCGTCTCCACGCTCTGCATTGATGTGCTGAATGTTCCTCATACAGGTGCATTGATTCAATTCATTGATGGTGATTGGTGTAACGCAACGTTTATCTGTGTATGTGCATTGGCCTCTAAATTGCTTTCCTATGGGAAAGCATTAGATTGCCTGAGATCATCAAATTTGACTTGGAGCGTGGGTGGCATCAGTGCTGGAAAAAGTTAAGTTATAACTTTTTTTTAACGGGGGCAGCCACCTAAATTATGATTTCATATATATATAATATTTAAGATCCTAGAGTTCAAGCCTAACAATAGAACAATAGAATATCTTAGATTGTAGATACGATACTAGTCTATATATGTTATATTTTAGTCATTCCAGAAACATAGATTGTGACGGCAGATGAGAACCATTCAGCCCGTCTAGTCGGCCCAAGTTTCTAAATACTTTCATTTGTCACTGGTCTTATCTTATATCTAGGATAGCCTTATGACTATCCCATGCATGCTTAAGCTCATTCAGTGTGTTAATCTCTACCACTTCAGCTGGTAGACTATCCCCTGCATCCATCACCTTCTCAGTAAAGTAATACTTCCTGATATTATTTTTAAACCTTTGTCCCTCTAATTTAAGACTATGTCCTCTTGTTGTGGTAGTTTTTCTTCTTTTACTGTGTTGATTCCCTTTATGTATTTAAATGTTTCTATCATATCCCCCCGTCTCGTCTTTCCACCAAGCTAGTAGCCCTCCTCACTACTCTCTCCAAAGTATCAATATCCTTCTGAAGATACGGTCTCCGGTACTGCGTAAAATACTCCAGTGAGGTCTCACCAGTGTTTTGTACAATGGCATGAGCACTTCCCTCTTTCTACTGCTAATACCTCTCCCTTTACAACCAAGCATTCTGCTAGCATTTCCTTCTGTGCTATTACATTGTCTGCCTACCTTTTAAGTCATCAGAAATAATTACCCCTAAATCCCTTTCCTCAGCTATTAAAGTTAGGACTGTATCAAATATTCTATAAAAAATAAAAATATAATACAGTACTCAAATGTTCTTACTTAGTAAAAATTATATATTTTCTTGCCAAAAATTGGTCTATTATGAAGATACATAGAAAAATATGCAAAATATCAAAAGCAGCAACATAATGTGGCAAATCTGCGAATATTATATACGCTGCCATTGGGTTTTTTCGCCCAAGGTTCATTATCTTGTATTTATCCACATTAAATATCAGCTGCCACAGCTCTGACAATTTTTCTAGTTTACCTTAATCATTTGCCATTTAGCTTATCTCTCCTGGAACATCAACCCTGTTGCAAATCCTTGTATAATCAGAAAAAAGACATACCTTACCATCAAGACATTCTGTAATATTACTAATAAAAATATTGAAGAGAATCCCTGAGGTACCCCACTGATAACAAGATCTTGCTTTGAATATACTACATTGACTACAACCCTCTGTTGCCTGTCACTCAGCCACTGCCTTACCCATTCAACAATATTTGAATCCAAACTTAAAGATTGCAGTTTATTGATAAGCCTTCTATGTGTGACAGTGTCAAAAGCCTTACTGAAATCTAGATAAGCAATGTCTACTGCACCACCCTGATCTATTATTTTAGTTACCCATTAAAACAAATCAATAAGGTTAGCTTGACATGATCTTGTTTCTAATTTTGAAATCCATGTGATTTTAGATGTTCTACAATCCTATCCTTTAACATGGTTTCCATTACTTTCCCCACTACTGAAGTAAGGCTTACTGGCCTATAGTTGCCCGACTCCTCCCTACTACCTTTCTTGTGAATGGGCACAACCTTTACTAATTTCTAATCTTCTGGGATTACTCCCGTTAACAATGATTGGTTAAATAAATCGGTTAACAGTTTTGCTAGTACACCACTAAGTTCAGTCTATATATAATTGTCTGTAGAATAGACAATCTCTAAGTATGGTCTCGATTTAACATTATTCGATAAGTTTTCCAATAATATTTTTGGACAAACTACTTTAGAAACATATTAAAATATCAGAACATATTATGTATAAAAAATATATCAAAATATAAATAGATAATATATTTTCATGATATTTAAAATTTCATCCAAAAATATTATACCTTTTGGAAATCTTGTCCAACAATATTTTATTAATGCCTATGCTGGAAAAGTGGACATAATTAGAAGGTTCACATGGCTTTTTCTGCCATCAAACAGTAAACTTTGGAAGATTGCAAATATACACCACGGTGCCCAAGAGGGCATTTGTACATTGAGTCCTGAGACATTTGTTGATTTTATATGCTTCAATAAATTTTGGTTTCACGGGTGGATCCAATCCACTGAGCTGTGCATTGTTGTCTCTTGTTTTCCTGTTTGATTTTTCTGCTGATTAAACCATAGCAGATTTTTACGCTTTTGCTGCTTTGGTGAATTATATTATTGTTTTGGCACTGTAGTAACCACACTCCCTAATCGTTTATGTTTGCTCTTCACCACTGAGCAAGAAAATGTTGAGGAAATACCAAGTGCGTAATGAGTATCAGAAGACATGTATTAAAAATAACTGGGCTATTTTTGTTCAAGGCTATTGGATCTGGCACCTGTAATTATTCTATTAATATTGATCAAGTTTCCTTAAAGAGGAACTTTGAGCACCACAACTACTGCAGCTTATTGCAGTGTTGTGATGCATCCTTCCATCAAACTAATTTTGAGTTGTGTGACTTTAAATTGGGAAATCCTTGCCCCCAATGCCCTGCATTCATCTGATAATCAGGTAATGTGGACATTTTACTCCTTATTGTGTGTCCAACGCAGTTCAACCTGAGATGGTTATGAGAGCTAAGGGCCAGCACTCATAGTGTATACACCGAATGCTCTTCTCAATGTGCCTGATTTTTCTTTGGGGGCTAGAGTAGCAGTTTTTAAACTAAAAGGCCTGTTATTTTTTTTTTTCTCTGCTTTATTTTAATTATTTTTTTTTCCTTTCAGAATGAGATTAGACTACAGCAGAAAACTGTTGAACAACTGGAGGTCACTATTAAAAATATAACGGTGGTGAGTGTATTTAATTGTAAATGTAAAATGAGTGGTAGTAATGTTTCTATTCAATGAATCCCCAGTTAAAATATTCCTTTTGGCATTAACAAATTGGGAAATGATTTACTAAATTTAGAGGAATGATATAATACTGGGCTCAAAACTTCCATTTGCCCACTAGCCTCTGGCAAAAATTCAGCAATGACAAGTAGAAATTCACTCCGGGTGAATGTGCCATGGACCACCTAGGCTTGCAGTGGTGCATAAGTTTTAGGGATGCCTGGTATCATAGGATTTGGAATGTTCAGCCTAATCTAGTACATCTAGTCTGTAATTTAGACATTTGCCCAATAGAAACATGTCCTTGCTAGGAAATATCATTGACTGTTTCTGTGTATAGAAAATGATCAGTGCGCATACAAAATATACTGTTTTGAATTTTACAAAGTTACTTCAAATATATTTAGTTTAGCCATACTGATATCTTATTAAAATACTCCATTACTGGTGGGTTATAAAGTAATTTTAATATGGAAGATAAAAGCACTAGTGGATGTCTCCGTTACGTGCATAAAAGCAGTCAATACACTGTTTCTGTTTACTTTCTATACCATAAGATGACTAAAAGCAGTATTTTTGTTGCTTTAGACATGGGGTGAAGCTAAAGGTGGATATACAGTGTCTCACAAAAGTGAGTACACCCGTCACATTTTTGTAAATATTTTATATCTTTTCATGTGACAACACTGAAGAAATGACACTCTGCTACAATGTAAAGTAGTAAGTGTACAACCTGTATAACAGTGTACATTTTCTGTCCCCTCAAAATAACTCAACACACAGCTATTAATGTCTAAACTGTTGGCAACGGTACACCCCTAAGCTGAATTGTCCAAATTGGGCTCACTTTTGTTGCCAACAGTTTAGACATTAATGGCTGTGTGTTGAGTAATTTTGAGGGTACAGCAAATTTACACTGTTATATAGGCTGTACACTTACTACTTTACAATGTAGCAGAGTGTAATTTCTTCAGTGTTGTCACATGAAAAGATATAATAAAATATTTACAAAAATGTGACGGGTGTACTCCCTCTTGTGAGATACTGTAATTCTATGACGCTCTTCCTTGCAAGCACTGGCATCTTCTTTCATCAGCTCTGGGTGCTTTAACTGCAAGCATGCCATGTAACTGCAGTGCTTTTGAGGATATGAGATAGAACAACACAAATGCTCCAGCAGGATCCTTCATAGAAAAGAACGCACAATGAACAAGAAGATGCCTGCCTCTTTTGGTAACTTTTGACAAAAGTTGAGAGGGGAAGCTATTCCTTTTGTCAAACTAGACTTTCCAAATAAGTCAAAGCAGTCCCTACTTTGTTTTTTGTTAGCTTTAAATGTATTGGGATGCCAATGATATTTCAATGCATTTCAAAAAATATTACATCTTTATGGAATACTCATAACTTGACCATAGGTGTTTTAATAAGGATACAACTTTATTTATGCATAACTTGAGAAATGTGTTTTTAAACAGGATGCTAATATTGCCAAAGAACATTTAGTAAAAGTAGAAAACGACTTGCAAGAGATGAAGGAGGAAAACAGATCTTTGAATATCCTCTTAGACCAGCTGCAGGAGGACAAGAACAGGCTGACAAAGAAAGTGGAGAAATTGGAGAAGACAGGTGTGGCATATCAAATAATGTTTTTTTATTCACTTATAGTTATGCTGAAAATGTATATTGTGCTGACACTGTAAAATTTCCTTCTAGTTTATTGCCAATATAAGAATTAAATTACACAGGAAGTGAGAGGTGCTGGAGGAGGATCCTGGCTGTCCTCCTCCTCTGTGTGTTTGCTGTGAAGGCACATCATGATGTCCTAATACCGCCAGCCGGAACTCTTTGCATCTCCCTGACCTCTTCCTGTGTGAAGGCACTGAGTTGTGGTTGAGCACTCACTTTGTATGTGCAGTGACTTGGAATTTGCAGCCTAATCTAGTACATGAAATCTTACATTATCAAATTATTGTAACACGGCTTCGAAAAGAGATTATACGATCACCTAAGACACCAAAAGGTGCTGGTTCTGTACATAGGAAGCCTTGCAGCCCATTGACAATCCAGATGTCAATCCAGACAATTAAGTAAGTATTTACATACAAATAATAAATTCCACTACCACACACAATCACACTCAGTCAACCTGTGCACAATCACACAGATCGCACACAGGTCTGTTGCTTACAGGGAACCCTTTCTTTGATTCTTGCACCCAGCGTTTTCTAGTTATGCCCCTGAAACTCCCTCTTAGTGGAAGGACTAAAGGCAAAACAGGTGCTTTTATATGATTAAAAATGTTATCCTGGTTTCCTTTGTGATTGCTCCTTTTTAATCACATGGACCCAGATTAGCACCTTTTGCCTTAAACCACATTTACCAGTATAAAACTTTCATCTTAAATTTTTTTCACAGAGAAGAATACTGTTTTAGCAAATGAGAAGAGAAGAACCACCAGCCCCTCTAAGTTGGATGCATTTGTCAAGACATTAGAGGATGAAAGAGATCATTACAAGAGGGAAGCAGATAATCTGAGGAAGATGGTCCGTGGGCGAAGTTGTAGCCCTAAGCGTACTCCCGCCCAGGTAAGCAGCACAGCATCCAAAAACCGTGCATGAGATACCCATCATATTTTTAATTGATCTTCTTTTAAAATAGAATAGCCATCTCTGTATAATTAAACTCCAGTAAAAATATTACTGTATTTACATCATAGACGGCTGCAGCAGAGAATTGTTCCAATTCTAATTAAAGAAAAACTGTCAACTTTTTCTTGGTTAGTGTTTAGTAGGTGAGTTTTTCTTTCATGGTCTGTAAAGAAAGTGTGCAAATATTGCATTTGACAGGCTTCCCCCTTTGCCCAGTGTGTGCAGACATTTTCAGTGATCATGGTTTGGAATCAGCCATTCTCCGACCTAAGATCTCGTTCTGTAAGCCAGCTGCTGCACATTTGCAACCAAGAGAAGAATGCAAGAAATAGATCACTCTGTCACCCTTTTAATTCACATCTACTCATGTTTATTTTCGAATCTGTGTATATATTACTCGCCATGTCATTTTTTTTTTTATCCTAACTTTTTCCTTCCTTCACAGCTTGAACCTGAACTTAAAGCTGCCCAGGAAAGAGATGCCTTAAGAACCATGCTGGAGAAATATGAGCGCCATATGGCAGAAATCCAGGCTAATGTCAAAGTTCTGACATCAGAGAGGGATAAAACCAATGTGCTTTATGAAAAGGTACTTACTTAACCTCACCATCCCCTGTGCACAGCATTTAGCTGGGCATCTGCAGTAAGTTACTTTATTTCAGTTGTAGTCCTTATGCCTAGGGTACACAATGCAGGCCACAGTAGTTTACCCTCCAAGGCACAGATATATGATTCTGGGGCTTTTAAATGGAAACCATGACTTCTCTGGAAATATGATGTTCCATTTTCTTTAAAATGTATGTTAAAGATTTAGGAAATTATATCACAATTCAGGTCAGTCCAAGCACAGCCAAGGCATATACTGAATTGGAGAGAAAGCAAACAGAAACACAGGGGACATTTATGAAAGTTTTCTAAAAAATGTGCCCTTTATTTTTGGTTTCTAATCTGTTTGTATGTATTCATTCTAGAACTAGTCTAAAAAATTGTATTTTCTTAATTCTACAATTTCTCACTGGAAAAAAAATATCAGAACAGACAGTGAAATTTAGAGCTACAAAAAAGCAGAAATAAATACTTTTCTGGAAAAGTGATGGAAAGATTGATAAAGCCATGGTATCGTAATGCCGGTTAGGCTGCCAAAAAAGCAACAGGCGAAAGAAAACAACAGATTTATTCAATTACTCTCTAAAAAAGGCACAAAACTCCTTGCCACACCTTGATAATCCCCCATTGTTTGTTACTCCAACTCCACAGACTATGTACAAAGACAGAAAAGGGCAGAACACAGTTGCAACTGTTGATTTCTGCATTTAATTTTATTTTGACATATTTTTGTTAAATATAAGAATGAAGGTAAGTTTACATTAAAACTCCTGGTAACTGACAGATCCCTTTTAAGAATGTGCTGATTTGAGCTTAACATCAAGTGTGGTCCCAAGACATCATAGGCTCTTGAACTGAGACATTACATGTGTAATGTGTATGTAGTGTTCTATGTAACAGATTTGTTTTTGCACAACCGTATTCTAATCCATTGTATGATGTTTTAGGCACAGCAAGAAGTAACACGGCTTCGAAAAGAGCTTATACGATCACCTAAGACACCAAAAGCATGTGTTACAGCTCAAAGCATCCTGCGACGAGTGGAATCTGAAAGGGACAGTGCTATTTCGGATTTACGCAGGATGACCACAGAACGTGACAGTCTGAGAGAGAGATTAAAGGTAAGAAATTATTCTCTGAACACAAAGATATATTTTTTAAATTCATGAATTATAAGATATTAATGGTTTGAGATTTGATTTTTTTACATGTCTATGAAGATATTGATGGAAAAAGCTGCTACGCATCAATAAAACACAGACCCATAATAAAACTAATGGCTCTAGGAATTAAGAGAAATGTCTCTTGTCAATGTTAAATATGGTTTAATGATTCACTTTAAGAATATCAACATTGTTTTGAATTTTAAACAGCAAGCATCATAAAAACACAATAGTGGCACAACACGGTTATTGTGCTTTTGATAACGATCAGCATCATTACAGCTCATGGAATACTGTTGTATTCAGTGCTGTTATGATGCAGGGTGCGTCATTACAGCAGATGGACATTGGATGTCTAAAATCATGGGAGTCATGGAGCTCTGGGTTTTACCTAATCGCATAAGTGCTCCTTAAAAGCTAATTCACTAAAAATGCTCCTGTGCTATTGCTAAAAGAGTGTCACTCAAACAATACTCAACATGTAAAACTCAATTTTATTTATGTAATTTTTTTTCTAAATATTATTTAAAGTTCACTTTTTAAAAAATGTAATGAAAAATAAATATATATTTTTATTAATACAGATTTCACAGGAGACATCTATTAATGAGAGAGCTCACCTGGAGCAAAGAGTGGAAGAACTGCAATCATCACTTCGAATAGTAAGAATATGAATGATCTAAATATAAAAGTCTGTTTTGTGTCATCACATATGTGTAATACCTAAGGCAATTAAAATAACTACACTTTACACAGCATCTCAGGATGATATTGCTCCAATGACACACCCAGGGTACTATGCAAACGAACACAAACAATACTCTTTACTTATGATATTTTTATTTGTTCCCTTAATATTAGCTTGCTATTTTCAATGTAGCCTTCATAAACCCATACTAGCTTTGTTCACAGCTTGAAATCCTCATGACTTTATCAAAAAAGTCTTGATTGTCTGTATGTTTATAGATATGCCTGTCTGTCTATATATCTATTAATCTTGGCTCACAATTGATATCCCTTTAAGTTGGAGAGTTTTAATTTGCAGAGTCTGCATGTGCAAAACAGCCACAACCCCTACACATGCAAACACACTTATGATTATGGGTCTTCCTTTGCATTTTGCTGTAGATATGCCTGTGTGCTATTTGTACCCCAAGAGAAGGTATTCAGACTTTCTTATAATATACAGTTTATATACATCAAATCATTAAAGTTCAATCCCGGCTGGATCTTTAGCCAAGTGAACAATACATGAAACAAGTGTATATAAATATACATGCTCACACATGTATGTGCCCTAATAAATCCATGGTATGAATTTTGTTACAGATGGAAAATGATTGTGGCGACCACAAATCTAAGATTTCTATATTAAAAGATACAGTGTCCTCCTTGGAGAATGAAATTAAAATTCTGACTCAGAGAGCAAGGGAAGCTGAAAGTGAACTGATCCAACGCAAGTCACAATGTGACTCACTGAGGTGTGTTTGGAATTAATAACTCTCTGCTGTTACATGTCAGATATTTTTTATAGTCTGGTAGTTTTGTTTGTTAAACAGGCAAAAAAAGACAAGTTCACATATAAATCCATGTTCAGTTTCAACTTCTGTAAATATGTCTAATCTGTGACTGAAACAATTATCTTTATAACTTCCAGAATTAAATGTAACTTCTGTATTCAACATTAATTAGTAGGCCTTGTTCGACTGCGAAGTAGTATGGAAAAAGTCTTAAGAATTGTCATGTCATATGTTGGCAAATTGATATCTAAAGGAAGACTATGAATTGATTTTTGAGCATTCTGTGTGCTCTCACAGGTTATTTAATGAGAAAACTGAAAATTCATTTGAAGAAACTCAGCGCCGCCTATCACTAAAACTCACTGAACTGCAATTGGCACAAGAAAAGATTGTAAAACTGGAGGATAAAACAGGTATGTAAAAAGCCCAGGGTACAAAAATTCATACTGTAATTGACAGTGCCATGTCTGCATACTTTGCGCAGTGTTTGTCTCTGAATAAATATTTCTTCAAGTAGACTGAGTGATTATATTTTATTATTAATGGAATAATACCACACATACAACCTAAAACTCATTCTCTCACATTTTCTACACAACCCCTAGTAATAGCAAAGTCTCCAAATTATGGCTAATAATAATGTGCAAGTGTGAAGAAAACTACAGACAATCATTCATGGCTAGGGGGTTCAGACAAAATTGCAAACTTTGCCTCTTAATAAAGTGTCCTCAAGACACATTTTGAAGGAGAAAATCTCTGTTCTATAACAGATTAGTTTATAGCAAATTATTATTTTAAGAGAGTCCATTTTATTTCAGATTGTTTAATGCTACCATACGTCAAATTTGAACATGTATACTAATACACATAAGTTTTATATTAAAGCTGAACTTACAAGCCAAAGTCTCTCTCAGCGAGAAGAACTCTCCATTCTCAAGGCAACTATTTCTCAGTTGAACACTGAAAAAGATTCCTTAATCTACAGTTTGGATCAGAAAGCTGCAAATATGTCTTCACTTGAGAAGAGCATTTCTATAAAAGTAAGGCATCATAATTAAATCTGTCTTGCACTGGAAAATGACACTCTCTGCCTAGGGGTTTTTTTTTGTTTTTTTTAAGTATATATTGATAATATCTATTTAAAAGTAAAAACCCTAGCTAGTTTCTATATACAATGCTCAAAAAAATAAAGGGAACACTTAAACAACACAATGTAACTCCAAGTCAATCACACTTCTGTGAAATCAAACTGTCCACTTAGGAAGCAACACTGAGTGACAATCAATTTCACATGCTGTTTTGCAAATGGGATAGACAACAGGTGGAAATTATAGGCAATTAGCAAGACACTCCCAATAAAGGAGTGGTTCTGCAGGTGGTGACCATAGACCACTTCTAGTTCCTATGCTTCCTGGCTGATGTTTTGGTCACTTTTGAATGCTGGCGGTGCTTTCACTCTAGTGGTAGCATGAGACGGAGTCTACAACCCACACAAGTGGCTCAGGTAGTGCAGCTCATCCAGGATGGCACATCAATGCGAGCTGTGGCAAGAAGGTTTGCTGTGTCTGTCAGCTTAGTGTCCAGAGCATGGAGGCGCTACCAGGAGACAGGCCAGTATATCAGGAGACGTAGGAGGGCAACAACCCAGCAGCAGGACCGCTACCTCCACCTTTGTGCAAGGAGGAACAGGAGGAGCACTGCCAGAGCCCTGCAAAATGACCTCCAGCAGGCCACAAAGGTGCATCTGTCTGCTCAAACGGTCAGAAACAGACTCCATGAGGGTGGTATGAGGGCCCGACATCCACTGGTGGGGGTTGTGCTTACAGCCCAACACCGTGCAGGACATTTGGCATTTGCCAGAGAACACCAAGATTGACAAATTCGCCACTGGCGCCCTGTGCTCTTCACAGATGAAAGCAGGTTCACACTGAGCACATGTGACAGAGTCTGGAGACGCTTTGGAGAACGTTCTGCTGCCTGCAACATCCTCCAGCATGACCGATTTGGCAGTGGGTCAGTAATGGTGTGGGGTGGCATTTCTTTGGGGGGCCGCACAGCCCTCCATGTGCTCGCCAGAGGTAGCCTGACTGCCATTAGGTACCGAGATGAGATCCTCAGACCCCTTGTGAGACCATATGCTGGTGCGGTTGGCCCTGGGTTCCTCATAATGCTAGACCTCATGTGGCTGGAGTGTGTCAGCAGTTCCTGCAAGACCTGAAAGCTATGCACTGGCCCGGCCGTTCCACAGACCTGAATCCAATTGAGCACATCTGGGACATCATGTCTCACTCCATCCACCAACGTCACACGTTGCACCACAGACTGTCCAGGAGTTGGCAGATGCTTTAGTCCAGGTCTGGGAGGAGATCCCTCAGGAGACCATCCGCCACCTCATCGGGAGAATGCATAGGCGTTGTAGGGAGGTCATGCAGGCACATGGAGGACACACACACTACTGAGCCTCATTTTGACTTGTTTTAAGGACATTACATCAAAGTTGGATCAGCCTGTAGTGTGTTTTTCCACTTAAATTTTGAGTGTGACTCCAAATCCAGACCCCCATGGGTTGAAAAATGTGATTTCCATTTTTTTATTTTTGGGTGATTTTGTTGTCAACACATTCAACTATGTAAAGAACAAAGTATTTCAGAAGAGTATTTAATTCATTCAGATCTAGGGTGTGTTATTTTTGTGTTCCCTTTATTTATTTTTTTAACCAGAGTTTTTTTCTAGTTTATATATACATCTTTAGTTTGTGTTTTACTTTTAAATTCACAAATAAGATTTTATAAACATTGTTTATATTTCATGTGAATTTATACCCTGTTTTTCTTTCCATGTTTTAATATAGTTACAACATAAAATGCATTTCATTTTGAGATAGAAAGGGCTTTACTTTGCCACCTGTCTTCTAAATACAACATAAACAGTAATCCTAGCATAAAATCATGTATGATTAGTTAATGTTTTAAGGACATTTCTAATATGAAGGTTGCATTTACTGTGGAATTTCCTAGCTTACATTTTGCCATGAAATGCATTACTTTATATATGAGGGATGTCATCTGCAATTTGCCAATACTGCACCGCCATGTACTGCATACCAGCTCTGTCACTTCATGTATTACATTTCAGCCCTGTCATTCAATTTATTGCATTCCAGCTCTGACACTTCATTTAGATCGGTGCTGCCTGGGCATGTTTGAGATGGCAAATCTTTTCTCTTTCCTTATACTCCACTCTATTGGTAAAAGTTGGGGACTTCCATATGCGTATATTATTATTTTCCCTCCAGATTAGAGGTAGTGCACTACAACTGGGATAATCCTCTAATCTGAATCATTCTAGGCAGACAGACACCTTAAATTTAAATTGATTAGATCCTCCCCCAAACTCCTCCTCCTTTAGTATAAAAAGGTAGAAAACCAAAGACCCCCCAGATCGAGCACAGTGAGTAAACTCTGGCCTATCTTCCTGCAAGAAGCAGAGCGGGTTAGGTGCTTCCTCCATCCTCTTCTTAGGTGCGTTCCACCTCTATGTCTTCTGTCTATTTTCTTCTTGCCATGTGTGATCTGCCCCTAAGCTAATAATTGTTTTGCCATTTTGATTAATACTTCTTTGTTTACTTGCCATGAAATGGGGGGGGGTGAGAGAAACATTAAATTGTAAAAAAAAAATATCTAAACTGAGCATCACCCGATCATCGCGAATAGGTAGTTCATTATCTGTAGTCAATTAAGTGTTCTTTGAAAGTTTTTGTACAATATTGCTTTATATTGTGTATTAATTTTGAAATGGAAGTGTAATCTGTACTCTGTTTTTATTACTAAGGAAAGCACCATTGAAAGCTTGAGGAGTGTACTTAGTGAAATGGAAGATTCTGCACGGTAAGCTTCACTGAAATTACATATGACAGAGTTATATCTCTGCTGGGATACCACAAAGTGCTCATCAAATTAAATGCTTTGTCTACAAGTAGAGAGGGTAGAGTATATCATTATCAGTAGATTATTTTGGATAAAATTTTCTCAAGGGATCATCAATGGATCAGTAGGTTACTGATTTGCATTGAATAGAGAATAATGTTGTTAGGGAATTCACGCTATGGACAATAACCATTACCAGGTTAGAACGGAGTTTAGTAATTTGCTCCAACTTTCAGTGTACTCGTCATTATACTCATAGTGTTGTCATGGATTCAAGGAACCTCTCATGTTATGCCATGTTGGATCTGGGTTCACGCAATTAAATACCTGAGGGACTCATATTCTACAAGCTCTAGTTGGGACCTCGGGCCAGTTTGCCATAGAATATTTCACAGCGGATAAAATAACACCTATTTCTAGTACAAAATAAAATTAAAATTACTCTATTAAAATGTATTTTAAAATACCACAGGATGTTTTGAAATAGATCTGAAAAATAAACAAGGAATAAAATCATCAATATTTTTTTAATATTAAAATGCATCAATCTAAAATGTTTCTACAGGCAATCTGTGAAGACTGTGAGCAGCCAGGAGCAGGATATAAGCAGGTTGCGTCGGCAGATAGATGACATCAGTGATGAGCTTACTCGTACAGGAAGAGACAGGGAGCTTCTATCTCAGGAAAAATCACACCTTCAAGACCATCTGTCTAAGTGCAAAATGGAGATACAGGTAAGTAGTAAAAACTATTTTAGGTAAAAAAAAAAAATCATTAAAGGAACCCTCCAGACCAGGGGCGTATTAGCCGCGAGGCAAACAAGGCATTTGCCTTGGACGGCATTTTTCAGGGGGCGGCAAAAAACGCCGCCCCCGCCCCCGAATGCCCAGGGCAACTGCCTTGTTAGCCTCGCGGCTAACAGACATGCTGGGCGCTGGCTGGTGGTCTTGAGGGGCGGCTGGCGAGGGAGCTCTTCCTCTGAGCGGTCTGCTCAGCTCCCTCGCGCGCCACAGAGTGAGGCTGGGAGCCGGGTCGATGACGTCATATTCCGTCTCCCAGCCTCACTCTGCGGCGCGCGAGAGAGCTGAGCAGACCCTCTCAGAGGAAGTGCTCCCTCGCCACCCCATCAGCCCGACCGGCAGCCACTGGACCACCAGGGAGAAGGAACCCCTTCCTCCTCCCCCGCCCCCAGCACTCCAAAAGGTAAGGAGGCGGGGGGGGGGGTTAAATAAAAAGAAAAAAAAAATTGATGTGAGTGATTGTGTGTGTCTGACTGTGTGTGTGTGTTTGTGTGTGTGTTTGTGTCTGACTGTGTGTGTGTGTCTGACTGTGTGTGTGTGTGTGTGTCTGACTGTGTGTGTGTGTCTGTCTGACTGTGTGTGTGTGTCTGACTGACTGTGTGTGTGTGTCTGACTGTGTCTGGGTGTGTTTGTGTCTGACTGTGTGTGTGTCTGACTGTGTGTGTGTCTGACTGTGTGTGTGTCTGACTGTGTGTGTGTCTGACTGTGTGTGTGTCTGACTGTGTGTGTGTTTGTGTCTCTTACTGTGTGTGTGTGTGTGTCTGACTGTTTGTGTGTGTGTATTTAGAAGGTGGGGTGGGGGGGAAGGGTTGGGTGGGGTTGGTGCGGGGGTAGGGGGGTGCCTGAGTTTTGTCCTGCCTAGGGCAGCACAAAACCAGGATACACCACTGCTCCAGACCCCTAGAGCACATAAAGGGAAACCATATAGTTAGGAAAACCAAGTTGGGGGGACCAAATAGGCATGTGCTGTGCTCGCATTAGGACTTCAAAAGCATTCCTATGGGGTCTTGGGTGACGGATGTCCTCATGCAAAGCAAGAGGAGGTCCAGAGTCAATTAGGCGACCAAGAGGCATGACATCGCAAAAGTCCCTATAGTAACTATCTGGTAAACAGCCACTAGAGGTGGGGTTAACCCAGCAAATTATAGATAGGGTAAAGTCCTCCTCGATATGTCCTCCAAAGTAAAGGGCCTAACCCTGTGTATAGAGTAACGAAACAAATGTTCCCTCTGGGAACCAAATTCTTTGGAGTGATATTTATGCATAGAGCTGAAACATAATAAAGAAAAATGAGTCCCAATAGAAATGGTTGTGCAAAGTAAAGTGTAGTGAAAAAAATAAAAAATTAGACCATACCTACACATGGGAACATTTGTTGAGTTAACCCAACAAGGTAATTATTGCAGTTTTTGATAAACTGCAATAATTAAAAGTGCAGGGTTAAGAGGACTGGGACACTGCACACAAACCACTTCAATGAGCTGAAGACCAGACCACTTCAACTAGGTGCCTATAGTGTCCGTTTAGGCTTGCTGCAGTGCTTTATGTGTGACGTGTGTGTCCTCTTTTTTTAATTTTACAAAATGGACAGATTTCAATAGGAACTGGCACTTTTATAAATGACCCTTTTTACACAGCCTTGATGCTAAACTCATTTGGTAAGCAATTTCTCAGAGCACCTGCCTTGCAAAGACTTTTTATTCAGCTGCAGTGGGATGTAGGTGAATGGACAGACACAGAAACTCTGGGCTGTGGAAGACGTGGAGTGCTTTCAAAGGCTGCAGACAAGAGACCTGCAGCTTTTGCAAGCTGTTTTTAGATATACCCCAATGACAAAAATTAAAACATGCATAAATAAATGCATGCATGTTTTCACTGGGGGTATATATAATGAACAGTGATTTTTCTTTTTTTATTTGGGCAGTGGAGTGTCTCTAAGTATTTGACTGTTCACAAAAACTAAATTTTTTACCTACCGTAAATTTCTTTTTCCAGAAGATTAGAGGCAGTGCTTTACAACTGGGATTTCATCACCTTGAGGAAAAAAAAACAGGCAGGCAATCTCCCAAACTTTTCAAGAACCTCCCCCAATTAACCTTTGGCCTTATAAATTGCTTCCTACCCAAGACATCCCCAGAAATTACAAAAGCCGAATAACCGTACCACTCATGAACAAATTTTGGGGGGGGAAGTGAGTGCCTCTAATCTTCTGGAAAAAGAAATTTACGGTAAGTAAAAATTTTTGTTTTTCCCTTCAGATTAGAGGCAGTTCTTTACAACTGGGATATCCAAAAGCAATCCCTTAGGGCGGGACTCACTTCTCACTGCAAAAAAACCTGTGACCAAAGTTGTATCTTCCAAGATCAACAGACCAAATTGAGTGAAGAGATGACCTCGTGGCTGTTAGGAAATCGAGATAACGTATAGCAGAAGCCCTCAGGCAACCAATCTGAACATAACTGTGATCGAAGGAGCTTCAATGGAGATAGGTGTTAAATAAGGAAAAACACAAATGAATGTAGACCTTTAGGGTAATGTAGATGAGAACTAAACGCCCAGGCAGTGGAATTAGAATTCCAAGACCCTAGAACGCTGTTGGGAAAAGTTAGAAAAATAATGTTAGATGGAAGATTGAGAAGAATTAAAGAATCCAACTTAACTCCACTTTCTCCTGCTGAAAATGGAAACTTGAAGAACTTTAAGTTCTTCCCAAAAATATTTTGGGGTGACTACCTCCAAAGACCTAGAGTGAAGACTCAAATCAGCAGAGTAAAAAAAAAACAAAAGAAGATCCCCTGTGGAAAAGATTCCCTGAAGATAGGAACTAACCACGAAAGAGCCTAGCAGATACTGGTGATTTGGAGATAATCCTCTGAAAATCAACTAATAACCGAAATTTGACCTTGAGGATCTCTGGCTTTAAACCATCCGCAAAGCCCATCTGAAAAAAATAAAAAAAATAAAAAAAATAAGTTAAAACTTGGAAACGGATGCCTGCTCTTCTAAGAACCAATATCTTAAAAAAACAACACCTTCCATACTTGAAATAAATCTTGGAACAAGATCCATTTATAGTAAAAGAAATTGTCAATAATTTCCTGAGACAAAACATTATCCTTCAGTATCTGGTATACATAAACCAGGTCGTCAGCTTGAATTACAACAAATTTGAGAAGCGATACCCTTGAGAATTCCAGGATGCCTATTTACAGGTAAGGTCCCCAAAGAGTCCTCCAGATAATTTTAGATGAACGGTGAAACAGCTACTTTCCACCAAGGGAGGAAGACTATCATTCTCACCTTTTCCATCCTATAGGATCTTGGGGAATAGGGAACCAGGAGGAAACTATAGGTTAGACTGGAATTCCCAAGAAAGAAAAGGAAACCACAGCTTACTGGTCTGTCCAAGCTTGTACAATGAAACACTTCATGCTGTTTGATCTAGAAATCTCAGTTCCATAACTGGATAATCAAATTCTTCCTATTGTTTGGGTGAAGATCAGGGAGTATGAACCAAACTGCTTTGTATTAAATGTGGACTACTCCATGCTACAGCTAAACAGAGGAATATTAAGTTCTATGCATAAGTGACTAGACCTAAGAAAAACTAACCCAAGCATATCCTGGAACAAGATTTTTCAAACAAGATGACCTTGTCTGTACATAATTGCTACCGATGTAGAACTATCTGACCAGATCTGGATAAGAAAATACCTGGTCTTTATCTGAAAGGCAAAGAGAGCTAGCCAGATAGCCTTCAGTCCTATGTAGCTGGATAAGTTTTTACAAATTATCTCAGCTAATTTCCCTTCAACCGTATGAGAACCTAGCTGAGCCCTGAAGCATCAGTCGTAAAATTCTGAACGATCCATTTGAGAACTAGAACAAAAAGTAAGAACCATTTGCCATCCTTCATTTCTGCCTGGTTCAGAAAGAAGTGACCGAAGTATAGGATTTTACTGCAAAATCTTATCAGCAACTGTATCTGGCCTATGAAGGACCTGTAAAACAGTGCTATGCTTAAAGAAGCTGAAGAGACCAAGCGCGTTCTTACAAGACGGGAACCAATATTATTTCCCTAGTATCTTGTCTACTGAAGTAGAAGAGAGATTTCAGGTGATAGAACCACACATTTTTTCTTCAGGGCATTACCTTTCTCCGAGAGTCAAAAACCCTTGTCAAATATTTACATCTGAACTGTTCCTTGACAAACACCAGAACTGCACACTTCTTGAAAAGGGAATTCTTTATCAGAAGATTGATTAGCATCAACCTGTATGCTGTAGAAACACCCTAACCTTTAGGGGCTGGTGTACAAAAAACAATTAGGTGCCCCTGAGGAAGCAGTATTGTAGAGATTCAACAAATTTATGGATGGCAACATTTTGCATAGTGAGAGAATCTCAAGTGGCAATTGCCATAATCTTTTCTTAAAAGAAAACTGCAGACAAACCTAGGCAGTAAACCATCCCAGTCATATCGTATCTATTGCAGTGCAGGGAACATATTGAACCTGGTGGAACTACACCTTGATCAATAGGCTTGCAGCTGTACTAGAACTTGCTTCAAGCCCAGTAACATGAGGAAGAAAACATTTTCTAGTTCATACAGGTTACCATCTTTATTGGCGGAAGCGAGACTGATTACATAGATATACAGTCTGCATAAGACAATACCCATGATCCAGGCTTTCCTTAGCCATATTTGGGAAACAGAGGCTAGAGCAGACAGAATATCTGCAACTGCATTTCAAAACCTGTTTGATGCAGACTCTGCAGGAACCAATATTAGTAAGCAATCATAAATTTTCAATTCCAACCATCAGCCCGACCTGCTATAGGTAGAGATGCCACGAACCGTCCGCGAACATCTCGCGAGCCGCGGCGAACTCTGGTCAGCTGACACGTCCAGGCCAATCTCCAGCAGACCCTCCCTCCCAGACCCTCCTACTTCCTGGACAGCATCCATGTTTCAACTATAGGCTTTCCTTAGCCATATTTGGGAAGCAGAGGCTAGAGCAGACAGAATAGCTGCAACTGCATTTAAAACCTGTTTGATGCAAACTCTGCAGGAAACAATATTAGGAAGCATTTTCTTTAACATTTCCATTCCAACAGTCAGTTAGCTCAAACCTATCTGACAACATAGGACTTGGAATTTAAGATAAAACATAAAAATGTGCAACCATGGAGTGAAGCACAGGAAAAGTTCTGCCCCAGCTGAAAAACAGACTGCCTATTTAGAAACTGATATCAGGTGAAACTAGTTGAGGTGGTGAGAATGCTAATTGCAACAGAGCTTTGTCTACAGCAATTGCTAAAAGCCTCCTGCATTGCCTGCTGGCTGAAAATAAAATAAATAAAAGTTAATCAGTGTAAAAAAATTAAATAATATATACTTAGATCATATATATATATATATATATATATATATATATATATATATATATATATATATATATATATATATAGCCAAAAGTACAAGGGACTTCCAAGTTGAATGAATAAAACTTAGCTTTTATTAGCTCAAAATAAAAATCAACGTTTCAGTCTGTATCACAGACACAAAATGTGACATATCCATTCACATACACACAATTCCACAAGCAGCCCCCATACACAGCCCACATTCATATATATCATAAACTACTACTGAACATATACAATATAATAGCTCATATACACACAAATACAACGATACAAAGCAATTACGGTAAAAATAACACAAGCAGAATACGGCAGCATACACACCTCAATTTAAAATTAAAATAGGACCGGCACACTATGGGACATCACAATCCTATATTGGCACAGTGCTGCTAAAAGGTTGCCTACCCCTGTTATAGGCTTTACTCAAAGAATAATATATTTTGGGCTCGATCTACTAAGTGCTTACCCTTTCAAGGCACTATTTGTTTTAAGATTTTAGAAATAATCTTTAAGTGATGAGAAGCTAAAAACTCTCCAACTTAGAAACATTTGCGCTTTTTTTAGCTTATCTATCTTGCAGCACAGATAATTAACTTATTCAGGCTAGAGTCATTTAAGATAAAGCAAAAAGGCTTACCTTAAATGTCCTCAGAGTGTGTTGGAGGTTGGTGAGAACACACTTGCAACAGATTCTGAGTGCACTTGGCAACAGTTAGTTGCTGCTGGGTAAACAGCCTCTCTAAGTCCTGGAAACCAATATCTTGACCCCGGAGAGAAAAAATAATAAAGATATTGGCGCCTGAATTTTAAATCGCATTACGCATGTCCTGCATTTCACGATTCCATGGTGGAAATAAACGTAACCTGTACGAGTGTTCCACCAGCAGGACTTCCCAGCTAGTGCCCAAATGCGCACCATCGTGTGCCCGGCACCTGGCTCGGTATAGACGGAAGTAATACAACCGGGGGAGATAGAGCCGTCTGGTGTGTTATCCCTGGCCGATCTCTGAAAAGTTTATTTTAAAAAAGTAGAGCCTCCAGAGCCTCAGCCCTCTCACCATACTTTTAGAGAGAAAACCTGAACCTGACACCCTCCTCTGCCGGAGGCAGGCAAAGAACTGGGGATGTCTTGGGTAGGAAGCAATTTATAAGGCCAAAGGTTAATTGGGGGAGGTTCTTGAAAAGTTTGTGAGATTGCCTGCCTGTTTTTTCCCTCCAGGTGATGAAATCCCATTTGTAAAGCACTGCCTCTAATCTGAAGGGAAAATAAATTGTACTATGTTATTTGAGACATATAATGTCTAGTACTTTTGTTAATTTTGTGTAAAAAGAAAATAATGTGCACCTTTATGTTATAAAAAATAAATAAAAACAATCTACTTTCTGTGAGCATGTAGGATTTAGCTAAATGTCAAAGTCTATATGTGAAGATTTTTTCAAAATCCCCATTTCCTAATGAGGAAACCATCATTCGGGGGTTGCACCAGGTTGCAGGCACTGCGTGGTATGCTAGATGAGGAATTTTGTTATTATATTGTTTATGTTTAGCCATTTGTGTTCTATTTAATGAGAGAAAATTTCTGCCATCCTATAACTTTTTATATACATAGAAATTAGAATATATTCAATGGCAATGGAATTTAAGTGAGGGTATAATATTAATTATTATTGTCACCTCAGACAGTTGTTAAATAAAAATGTTGAATGCATAAAAAGCATCATGTTTATGTTTTCTTTCAGAATCAAGATCGCAAGTTGAAGGAATTCCAGGATGAACTGGAAGACGCAAAGCTGAAATACGAAGGTTCTCTGACTGATATTGCACGACTGGAAAGTGCCATTGGATCTAAAGTGAGTATGATATGCCATCACTCATAGATTTACATCAAAGCTACCTGTTATTGGGGTAATATAAGGATCCATTATTAGGCATATCCTAATACGAATATTTTTGGTATACATGATTTCCGTGTACATGTTATGTTTTACTAGCTTAACTATAGCAAACAACACAAGAGCTCTGTAATGTTCGGATACTGCAAAGCTTTTTGCTAGTACTTTAGCACGTCACTAATTACATTTACATTAAATGTACGTAAATTTTTTTTGCTGCACCTACTCCTGTTAATTGTTTCAATAAAGCTTTAATATGCACAAAAACAAAAAGATACATTCAGGTGCATGATCCCCCACAAGTTAGATTTATTTGTTAAAAGTATGCAGAAGTCAACTCAACTCTCTTTTACACATAACATACGTACCCAAGAAAAACATTGTATTGTGTAAAGGATGGATTATTACAGCAAAAGATTTAGTTCCTTTGGTTTTCATCAGCTATGTATTGTATTGTGTATTGTATTGTTTTTTTTTTTCTTCTTGGTTCTGGCTTCATCTCTTGCTGTTCCTGCATTCTGCATTTGTTCTTCACTAATTTAAAATTATCGAGGTTATACACTAACGTGAGAATTCAAATTGAATTGAAAGTGAATTTAAAATTTAAGATATAAGTAGCCAAACTGGAAGCATAGCTGATGTAGGTAATGTTTCATGTAATAGATTTGTCTATTTTACCTTGAATTTTAAAATTCATCTTGAATTCATTTTGAATTCCCTGTGTAAGTACTATAATCTCTGTCTTTAGTTTCATATAGAAGAACCCTCAGCACTCCAGGTGTTGTTGACTACCGCTCATATATATTTAAAATTAACATTAAATGAAATTTACATTTTTATTGATTTAAAAAAAAAAAAATGTTTTCATACATGTAATAATTTGTATTCTTACCGGACAGGAAAAGGAGGCTCAAGAGCTTTTGGACAACTGTCGCAGAAGCAACACACAGGCAGGAATCTGGGAGAACAAGTCTCACCAGCTGGAAACGGAGTGTAGATCTGTAAAACTAGACCTTCGCAATGCAGAGTCCGAATGTCGGAGGCTCAAGGAAACAGTTGATTCGCTACAAATGGAGATTGATCACGTAAGAAAATAATTTTATATTTTATGCAGAAACTCCAAGCAGTTCTGACTAAAATATAATTTCAGATTAGCATGTATGTGTACTATCAAATATTTACTGTGATTACCATTGGATATTAACACATCAGTCTGGCAATTTTAAAGTAATGGACTCTAAAAACAATTAACCGTGACTAGTTTAGTTCAATCTATTGATTCAATTAACCAGGCTCTTTCTATACAGAAATATTTACATTTAGTTGGCCTTTTAAAATCTGTTCATTTATGTAAGTAGGGTGTAAGTTCCACAGAGAGAGGAGTATTCCAGACTTCATTGGTTTTAGATACGGTACCATACGGCTCGTGAACACAAGTAGGAGACTGAATAAAGATATCTAAAGATAATACTAAATATTTTAGACCTTAATCATAAAAATTTTATAAGCTTGTCTAGCCTATTTGATCACATGGAAAATTATGTTCGAGGGCAAAACACCAGCATAGTAGCAGGAAATTCTTGTAAAGACATTTAAAAAAAAAAAAAAAATTCCATCTGGATTATAGTGAACGGTGGACTAAAAACTTAGACACACTAAGGGCACAAAAATAACCTAGCTTAATAACATAAACGCTAAGCCTATTGCAAGTAACTCTGCCTATTCCTATGTATAACTTCTGTATCCCATGGTTAAAGAGAGTCTCTGTGATTACCAGTCAACTCCGCAAGCCCCAGGACTTTGCAAGGGCCCATATGCTGGTCCCACTGATCCGGTTGCTTGCAGCACCTGGAATCGTGCCCCATTAGGCTTCTGACTTGGCTTGATGTTGAGAGTACCTTCTCTGGTAGTGGGGGATGTGCAGCTGGGTTCGACCATTCCTAGCCCTTGATCTGGGAATGCGGGAGCTGTGAGCGGTCCCTGTGGCATTTAGGCGAGTATGCAGGAGTTGGGGGATTTTTCCCTTGTGTTTCAAGCTGGGCATGGGTGTAGGTTGCTCAGTCATGCATTGCTGGGGTTAATGCATGACTGGAGGTGAGTACTGTGGTGTCTTGTCTCTCTGACTCCTCTCCATACGTGGGTTCTGTTTAGTGGCCAGTCTCAGCCAGAAGTTGGCAAAAATCTGATCCAGCTTTTGCATGGTGTCTTCCAGCAGGCCCTGTGTGGCTGAGGTAGGCAGCACATCTGCCATTTTCTGTGTGCCGAGGAGTTGTACTGGAATGCCAACAGGTTCTCAGTATCACCCTTAGGAGGAGAAAGTTGCCCTAGAGTGGGTAACGGGATATCCCTCACTAGTGGGGGGGAGGGAGGGTTTGGGAATCTCTACTGCTCCTATGTGCCCCTGCAGGATGGTTGATGAGGAGATAAGCCTCTTCTTCCCAGTCACCCCCACAGGTAGGCCTCAAAGAAACTGTAGGCTTAGACCTCCATTCGAGCAGTGAGACAGCTCAATATACGTCTCCGAGTCACTTGGATTATCTCCAACAAGATTAGGTATACATTTTATGGAACCAAGTTGGTTATATTGCAGAATATCGAGATTTTAGCTCGAGCTCTTACTTAGTGCGGCCGCTCAGTATGGCGGCCAAGCACCACCACCCAACAACTTGTGGGTTTTTTTTGACAATAAACTAATGTTACTTTTTCTCAGTCGAACTAAAACTGCAATCATTTTATTCATAGCATGTAACCACTGAACAGTCCTACAAATCTCAGATAAACAGCTTAAATAAGGCTGCCTCAAAGATGGAAGAAGAAGCACATCAGATTAAAGCAGAGAAGAGTACTGTCCTCAATGACTTGGCATCTACACGAGAGCTGTGTGTTAAGCTTGATTCCAGCAAAGAACTTTTAAACAGGCAGCTCAGTGCTAAAATTCAGGACATGGAGCAGGTATGCTGCAAGCCAGTTCAATTCCCTTCATTCAAAATATTACTTATAACCTATATTGTGTAATAAAAAAGATATTTTTTTCATGTGCAGCTTCAGATGGAGCTGGAATCCACTCGATCAGAGCTAGAACTCCTGAGGAAGCAACTAGCAAGCGAAAGAATTGCTATAAAGAATCTGGAGTCTCTGCTGTTTGGCAACCAGGAAAAAGAATATCAATCAAACATGCGGGCCAAAGAGTTAGACTCAGAACTTCAACATCTCAAAGAAAAACTAATTTTGACAGAGAGCAAGCTGTAAGTAAATGTATTAAAAAAACTTGATGGGGCAGTCATTTTCTATGAACTTTTTATTGTTGATTAGGTTTATGTGTAATGGGAAACTAAAGTACCTTGCGTGTTTAATTGTATGAAAGGTTGAAGAACGTTCAAATTCTTCAATTCTTTGAAAGAGCAAGTAAAGTCCACAATATATATATATAAAATATTAAGATGAATAAAATATTTTCTGTGATCAGAGAATCATTTAATATATATGAAAAATACATAAACTTACACAGAGGGTAGAGCAGCGCTAAAGAAACTGCATACAATAATATATCAGGCAGCAGAACTGATAGGGGAATCCTTCAAGCCCCTAAAAAACTAGAGCTAGTGAAACAAAGGTTGCAGGTAACACCAAGAATAAAACAATATGGAATAAAATCTGTAAAAATACACACACAAAAATAGTCCACAATAAAATATGGAGATTAAAAAAAACAAAAACCCAAAGGTAAGGCACAGTCTTAGAGATAACAGCACATCTTCAAGCTGTTGTACGATACTTTTAGCATAACTTCGCTTGGTAGCAGCATATGAAAGGAAACATAAGTTGAACCTATAGTGCAGATTAGTTGTAACAGATGGGACAAGCAACACTAAAAATAGTAGTCAACTCACATATAGTAGAGCTATAACCAGCTCTAGGAAAATCAGCATGCAGTGGTGTTAAATCCCCACTTGCAGGATATCCCTCTGATGTTGATGATCAATAAGTAGCAATGAAGCAAATCACAACAGGGTAACAGTGAGGTAGATCATATAAAATGAAAAAATAGCCAATAGTGCTCTCTGTGTAGGTAAGTATTTATGAATGAAGAATGAAATGTACTTACATTAGAATGAGCAGACTAACCTCTCTATGTCACAAGCGTGGGTGGTATAATCCCCACCTAGGATTCTTCAGTTGGTAGTCCTCAGGAAATTCAGATGTCAGGTAAAATATAAAATCAAAAGATAAATAAAAAGTATATGGCTTACAGCAGGTAATAGGGTAGCCAAAAATACCATATACAGAAAGAAGATATAAACCACAATGCGTTTCTCCCTTTAGGGCTTTTTCAAGTGGGTAAAATGTTTTTATCCATTCAAAGGGAATTTCCAATTTAAGGCCAATTTGGAAGCATAGCTGATTTAGGGAATGTTTCCAGTTTTGCTATTTATAACACAAATTTAAAATTCACTTCCAATTAACCTTGAATTCTTACTTTAGTAAATAACGCTAAACTGCACACTACACGTGTCATGCGGTATCTCTTCCGGGTTCGACATTCCCGCTATGCGGAGCCGGCCCCACCCGCTTCTGACGCGGCTCTCTGACACTACTTAGAGAGACCGTGCCAGAGAGAAAGGGCTTGGTGATTGTGGGACCTACTTCCGGGTATAGACGCCGGCTCCACAAGCTTCTTTCACAAGCCTTCCTAAACCTTTGAAGATAAAAGGATTATGCTTCATCCACTAGAGGATTACTGGAGAACGGACACTTTACCATTTAACAAGTGGACTCTAATACTGATCTCTTAGCTTAAAGGACCACTATAGTGCCAGGAAAACATACTTGTTTTCCTGGCACTATATTGCCCTGAGGGTGCCCCCACCCTAAGGGTCCCCCTCCCGCTCGGCTCTGGAAAGGGGAAAGGGGTTAAAACTTACCTTTTTCCAGCGCTGGGTAGAGAGCTCTCCTCCTCCAATCCTCCTCTGCTCCTCCCATGCGGCTGAATGCGCACGCGCGGCAAGAGCTGCGCACGCATTCAGCCGGTCACATAGGAAAGCATTCTTAATGAAAATCACAGTGAGAAGCACGCAAGCGCCTCTAGTGGCTGGCAATGAGACAGCCACTAGAGGAAATAGGGGAAGGCTTAACCCATTCACAAACATAGCAGTTTCTCTGAAACTGCTATGTTTGTGAAAAAATGGGTTAACCCTAGAAGGACCTGGCACCCAGACCACTTCATTAAGCTGAAGTGGTCTGGGTGCCTAAAGTGGTCCTTTAACCACTATGAACTGTTTCTTGCTTTGCAAATATTCTCTGCTACCTGCATACTATTTCTATTGAAGATTATTCCCATCAACATACAGAATATTATCCAATACATCACTGAGGAAATACTTATTGATGAACTTGTTTGCTATAACCAGCAATATCTTCTTATTGAATTATTACCTATATGCTTTTCACTTAAGTTTATCACAATCATTAAAACTTCGTTTGATTCTCTAATTGCCAGCAATCCTCTCTTTTCTTAAAGCTACAGTATTGATAATTTAAAGATTTTCCGTTTCTTCACTATTGTAATTAAGGAGTTCTACAAGCTGCAGTTGAGTTCCAATTCTAAAAACCCTAGTAGCATAACAACATGTAGGAAACCACAATTACCGTTTTAACAATAGCTCCAAGGGAAAATGGCAGAATACTTCAAGTTTGAGGAGTCCTTTCTCCCTTTTCCAGACTCTGTAAAGCGTGTATGATAAGTGTGCAGGTACTGTTGATAAGATATGTTGCCCATTAAAAAGAGGAAATTTAGGCAAAGCATATTCTTAGAAAATAGATGAAAATTTAATTTTAAGTTTCAAATAAAGAATATTGTTGACACAAATGATTTTGGAAAATGTCTGCAATAATTTGTTTGTTTTGCTTTTCCTTTCTCCAATCCTAGTGGAAACCAAGGACGAGAAACTGCCCATTTGAAAAACAAGCTAGCCCAGCAAAGTGCTGAACTTGAATTAACAAGGAGACAACTGTCTACTGAACAATTTGAAAGGTAAGTGCAGGCACACAGTATAAATATTTATACAGTAGCTGAATGAGAGTATGCCACGTTTAAGGAGAAGTTGTTCTCAAACTGTTATCTGTGGTTCTCCTTTCATTCTTTCCAGTGGGTAACCTGGTAACCTAGTGTGTAATGTAAAATAGAAAAAGAGAGGGTAAACCCCTTGATTGCATAAACCATCAGCATATAAGTAAATCAAACGAAGCAACGTTAATAGTGATCTACTCTCAACAGATTGGGTTCTCATCTAGGCCAAAATCACAAATACATAAAAGCTAATCAAAGTAGCAGATATGAAAACACAATAAAAACATTTAAAAAAAACAAAAACAAACGTTATTACCCTCATAATACATAAACAAAACATAAAATAATAATTTACAATCTAAAAGTGTTCATTTTGGTCACTATTCTTATGATCCCAATAGAAAGCAAATCCATGCAGTATATAACTAAGTATACATTGAGTGAAACATACATTGATCATCCACAACATTAAAACCTCTGACAGGTGAAGTGAATAACATTGGTTATATAGTTACAATGGTACCTGTCAAGAGGTGAGATATATTAGGCAGTAAGTGAACAGTCAGTTCTTGAATTTCATGTGTTGGAAACAGGAAAAATGGGCAAGTGAAAAGATCTAAATGGGTTTGACAAAGGCAAAATAGTGATGGCTAGATGACTGAGTCAGAGCATCTTCAAAACGGCAAGTCTTGTGGAGTGTTCACGGTATGCAGTGGTTAGAACCTATCAGTGAAGCACAACCAGGGACTGGCGTCAGAGGCATGTGCTCCCAAGGCTCATTGATGTACATGTACATTGAGAGCGAAAGCTAGTCCGAATACACAGAAGAACCATGATAGAAAGGTGTCTGAACATACAGGGCTTCGTAGTTTGCTGCTTATGGGGCTACGTATGAAATATACTGACGCAAAGTAGTTGATACTTTGTCTCAGTATATCTTTTGAGTGGGTTGGAATTTTAAGGGACACTAAAGTTACAAAATACAACTTTAGCTTAATGAAGCAGTTTTGGTGTATAGATCATGTCCTGCTCAATTCTTCACCATTTAAGAGTTAAATCACTTTGTTAATGCAGCCCTAGCAGGGCCGGTGCAAGGATTTCTGACAACACAGGCGAAGATGCATTTTGCAGCCCCTCCTCCCCCCAAAAAATGCATCTTCACCTGTGTGTCATGTAACCCCCCCTTTTAAATTTCTTACCCCCTTCAGTGTTTTTATCCTATCATTCGAATATCTTACTCCCCTTTTCTCCTTTGTGTGTCTTACACCCGCTTTGCTGTGTTTTATCTCCTTGTGTTTCTCTTACAACCCATTTGTGTATTTTTTACTTACTCCAGCCCCTTTGTCTGTCTCTTTCTTCTCCCCAGCTCCTTTGTGTGGCTCTTTCTCCCCCAAAGTCCCTTTGTACGTCTCTTTCTCCCCACAACCCTTCTGTCTGTCTATGTGTCCTCCCTCAGCCCCTCTGTGTGTCTCTTTTTGCCCCCCAGCATTCCTGTCCCTTTCAATGTCCCCCTCCCCCTATACCTTTCATTGTCCCACCTCCCCTCCTGTGCCTTTAAATGTCCCCCACCTTTTATTGCCTCCCCTGAACCTTTTATTATCCCCCTCCCCTCCTGTACCTTTTATTGCCCCCCCTCCTGTAACTCTTCTTTGTCCTCCCTCCTGTAACTCTTCTTGCCCTCCCTCCTGTAACTCTTCTTGCCCTCCCTCCTGTAACTTTTATTGTCCCCCCCTCCTGTAACTCTTCTTGTCCCTCCATAGCTCTTCTTGTCCCCCCTCCTGTAACTCTTCTTGTCCCCTCCCTCTTGTAAATTTTATTGTCCCCCCCTCCTGTAACTTTTAATGTCCCCCTCTCCTGTAACTCTTCTTGTCCTCCCTCCTGTAACTTTTATTGTCCCTCACTCCCCTCTTAAGTTCCATTGTGCCTCCTTTTGTAGCGTGGTTGAGCGGGCGGTACGCGGCAGAGGATCCTGTTTCCTGTCCCAGTCTGACAGGAAGCAGTTTGTTGCATCTCCTGTCAGACCGGGTAAACCGCGGCCCGCCCGCTCGGCAACTCTACACGCAATGACCGGAAGGAGGGGAGCACTAGGCAGTGTGCTCTCCTCCTGCCAGTCACCCGAGGATTGCGCCCCCCAGGCCAGTGCGCCCTAAGGCGGCCGCTTGTGCCGCCTTATGGTAGCGCCGGCCCTGAGCCCTAGGCACACCTCCCTGCATGTGACTTTCACAGCCTTTCTAAACATTTCCTGTAAAGAGTCATCTAATGTTTACACATTCCTTTATTGCAAATTTTGTTTAATTAAGAATTTCTTATCCCCTGCTCTGTGTCACGTATTTATGCTCACCTTATGGTATTTGCGGTGGAAATTTCCTTCCTGGCAATAATGGAGGTACCGCTCGGCAGTCCTGCGCCATTGTACCTGGCTTCTGCAGCATGTCGGTGGACGCCGGCCACTGCGGGTCCACTCCATATTGTAGCTCCACGTCTGCCCACGGTAATGACGGTGACGACGTGCGTGTGATGTCACGCAAAAGACTGCGTGCACGTTTTGGGGTCAAAGCCCCGTTACGGCCAAACTGATCTGCAAGAGGGTTATTTAAACTAATTTTTCCTTTTACTCATTGCCCTGTCGTGGTTTCCCTTAGATGATTATCCGAGAGTGTGTTCATGATCGTGTGCTTCTGGTTTTTGACTTTGGCTTCATTTTGACTTCCCTGACTTCTGGTATCCTTCTATTGGCTTTTCCTTATTGCTGTGTCTCGTTCTGTGTCCCCGACCTTGGCTAGTATATTGACTATTCTCTGGTACCTTAACTCTGGCCATTCTAAGGTCCGGTTAGAAGTTACCCTTAGTCCTAGGTGTGATACTATTCTGCCTGCTGGATCAACTGTAATCCTGACACTCTGTTAATAGCTTGCTAGACCTTGGAGGAACATTCTGTGTGTGATTAAAGTTAAATTTACAGAGCAGGTGACACAATCGTTTAAAGTAATTTACATCTGATTGAAAATTAACCATTTTTTTCATGCAGGCCGTGTTTTCTGCATGTACTGAAACAAAAGTGAGTTAACTCGTAAATCGAAGGGAATTGAGCAGTGACATTTCATAGGCATGATCTATACACCAAAACTGCTACATTAAGTTAAAGTTTTTATGGTGACTATAGTGTCCCTTTTAGTTAACAAATATATACATAAATCAGAAACTGGACCTTAGAATGGCAGGATGTTAATATAGAAAAGTACAGGACAAACCAAGATCGGGAAATAGAAGGTACCTAAACAGTGAGACAAGCCAAAGATCAAGGTATACCAAGGTCACAATAGTCAATGAACAAGCCAAGGTCAAAATAGACAAGATTCAATATAAATAACACACTCTCTGATAACCAACCAGAAAATCATGATAGGGCACTAAGAAAAATTCATGAACGTCATATTGTGCAAGACCTATAGAGCCATAAAAGGTTCTAGCGTGCAGTGAAAACTCTGATGGACCTTGTGGAAACTCACCATATCTAAGTGTACCCTCCAGCTACGAGCCTGCACTTGTGCAGGAGTTCTGCCGCTCAGGGACGTGACAGTTGTGGCTAATCGATGTAGTCACCTCAATCAGCGTAGCAATAAACCAATAGAAAACTTATCAAAGTGGAATAAAAAAAATGTCATATTGTTCAGAGAATTAGAATTCCTATTAGGTTTCTATTTTCAACAGAGACAAAACACTTGAGTGTGCAAGAAAAATGCATGAAATAGGGGAAGAGTGTGCTTCACACTTCTATGCAAGCTGTGATCTAAGTGTAAACTTTATTTTACTAATTATTATATTGCAGGTCCCATAAAAATGGAGTAATGTTTTTTTTACAATTGTTGGAAGAAGATAAATATCCAGGAACAGCTGAGGTTTCTTCCAAAAGGCAGTCTTTTTATTTGGAACAAGAATGTGGAGACAACGTATTGACTCCTCTCTTTCAGACTTGTTAAAGGCTCAGAGAGGAGCCCCATTATCCAAAGACTGCCTTTTATAAGAAACCTCAGGTGTGCCTGGGTGTTTTTCTTCCATTTGATTGGCCCTCCCTTTCTGGAGCACCCTGCAAGACGTATTCCCCCTTTTCTAGTGTGTGCATTATTTTGACAAAAAATTGAGTTGACAGTTACATTTTTGGCTCCAGTCACTGATATATATTCCACCAACTATTTTTCATACTCTGCTATTCTGGTTTACATTTTTCAGCTCCATTGTCTGTTCTTCTGAATTTTCTATTTAATGGACATTGCAGTAATTACTTGAAATGTTTGTGAGCCATTGAATCAATTATTTGAAGTGGTAAAATGGTAGTATTTGGGTACCTTTTGTTTTTGGAAATGTTGCATTTAAAATATAAATATGTAAGATCATAACAAGAATGTGGATTTGCTTCTTGTAATTGTTTCCAGGTGTTCAATGTTTGTCTTTAGGTATTTATTTGCGGGATGAAATTAATATGTTCTATGTCTATTTGAGGATGAATTTTATCCAAACAGCATTATATTATTATGTGTTTGTCAAGTATCATTATGTGTTTTTCTAAGTTTCATATGACCCATCTGGAGAAGTTGTTTGTTACTAAATGCAAAAAAATATTTTCTTGTAGGGAACGTGCAGTAAAGGAACTTCAGCGGCACTCTTATGCATTCCAAACAAGCTCTTTCTTAAGGAACTCTCCTTCAAGGAGTCCTTCAAGGCTCTCACCAGATCGTTCCTTTCAGTCTCCTGAACGCCGCACCAGGTCTCCTGGAAGATCCCTTGAAAGGTGTGTTTCTCGTTATGGTTCTTAGAGTTAACATGTGAAAGCAGTTAAAGGACCACTTCATCTCACTGTAGTAGTCTGTGTGCATTGTCCCTGACGTTTTTCTACCACAATATAAAACATTGCTTTGTTGTAAGTACAGCAATGTATTCATGGTGTGGAAAAACATTTCTCTACTAGCTGTCTTCCTGACAGCAAGTAGATGGTGCTTCCGCATTGAGAACTGAGCCTGACTAGGTTCTTCATTGATAGAATGCTGCACATGCACATTAAGTCTGCAGTGCTTCTGAATGAGAAGGATTTAATTTGGCAAAATGGCAACCAAGCCCGATTACCTCAGTAGAGGAAGACCGATGCTGTGTCAGCGCTGGATAACAGGTACATACCGAGTTAATTTAACCATTTCTGTAGCACAAAACTAGGCGCTGGGAAATCTAAACAGCTCAACTAATACTAGGGGCTAAAAGTTACAATTATGTCCACCCCCATAGTGTTCATTTAAATACCATCACACATAAAAAAATGTTTACCATCAGTGCTGTCATAATAAAATGTGAAAAATAAATGTTATTTTTTTGTGTTCCAGGAGTCCAATATTTAGACATTTTTAGATATCCTGAAAGAAAGCACCAAAGAGTTAACGACTTGGAATACACACCTGATTATCACATAGCTTGGAATCCAATAAATTAATTCAATAGGTTTGTCCTATATTGTGATCTTTATCAATTCAGAAACAGTATTTATATGGGTGACCACTGTGAAAATGCTCTGCAGAAATCATATCATAAACGAACACAATTCCATAGCTTTTTATTTATTTATTTGTTAATATATTTAAATATGAGTGAGTGCTTAAACGCATTAACAGGAAAAGTAATAAATAAGTGAAAACTAAATGTATAATTAAATGTGACAATCTAAAAGGTTATGTTTTTAAATACATTGCTACGTAACATTTTTGCTTTATTATTTTGTTAACCTTCCTTAATGTTGCAGCGTTTTGGCAGATGCAGGCTTTGAGTATTTGTTTTGTGATTTAGGAATAATTTGAATTACTAAGCCTAGCCCACTTGGAGAATACTTGTGTAAATTTATCAGCATCAGTAGAAGTTGTGGAAAGTAAACCTGAACCTCTATAGTAATTTTTTAATGTAATTTCCCTTTGGCAGTGCTTGCGATTGGGAGTAGATAAAGTTGTTTTAATGGGTAAAAGACTGCAGTGTTTCATATAGTATTAAATTGATGGGATGTGAATTGTGATAGTCACTATTGGGCTATGGTACTGCTCATGTTGGTATTTTTTTGTCAGAAATATAGCTAAAACCTGTACTCTTATTCTACTTTTGGCCAGGGAAATGACTTCAAACAAATAGTCTAGCTAAAGACCAAACCAGTCCACCATTGTACTCCATTGCACTCCCTTCTTAATTTTAAATGAAATGTTTTATTCTCATACAGCAGCCTGTTGGAGCAAGGATATAATGGCTCCTGGTATCCAAGTAATTAAAAATTGTGTATATTTAATACCACAGACCAAAAGCCCAAATACAAAAGGATTACAAATGAAACCCATGCTGGCTGGGTTAGTAATTTACTAGACTCCTTCATGTTTCTTTTCTCTGGTAGCACATTGGTGAGCCTGCCTCTTTTCATTTAATCAAGAAAAAGATTGCATAATGATGCTGCAGCATGAGATAATATTGTCTCCTTATGATATTCCCACATAATATCTGGCATTAATGACAATGTTAATACATATATAATAAAAACAAATGTGCATTTCTGCTTGTAGTTATAAAACATACATCTAAACTCCCAAAAATATACAAAAGGCAAAAAGTTGCTTAATTATTTTACCACTCAAGTTAAAAAATGTTGATTACTTCATATTTTTATAGGATATTTATAAATAAAATGTATGTTTGATGTTTGCAGTTTCTTACAATATATGTGTTTTTATACAATTTTGGAAAATATTTATTTCCATAAATTAAAGCTATTAAAATACCATATGGCGTAATTATTTATAATCTCATTTTTACAGTACAATGTAAATACAGTAGCACAATATAAACCATGCTGAAGTATTTAATAAGTAAAGGAACATTGCGCTTTTTCTTGTTTAGTTTACAAATATGTCCTGGGTACTATATATAATTGTGACACAGCCTACTTTTATGTGAAGGACCTTAGCAACGTTGATATTATTTTCTCCAAGTTTAAAAGAAGTCACACAAACATATATATTTTTAACAAGTAATTTATCTACGTTTTTTTTTATTTTGATTTGTTTTTGCACACCTCATTGTATTTTTCCTACATTTTTAGTAGACTTAATGTATGTAACTGCAGTCAAAATACTAAACTTGTACTCCATTAATCTCCAGAGAACAGCAATAAGGTCATGCATATATTTGCCAGTGTTTTGTGAAGTTACAGATCCAAATTTGAGAGTTTAATTTTCAAATCTGGAATTGTGGCAACCATCATATGGTTTACATTGTACCTTTTTGTAGAGACATATTTTTCTCAACAATATTGTTCAAATTTTTATATTATTGATGTTCCAGTTCATACATGCAAGTTGCAATTTTGCTGTATATATACCAACCTGATGTGTGCTAATGTTTGTGACCTTTAAGGGATGGAGTCTGTACCATGGCTGATTGGCATCTTCCTTACTTGTTCTCCGGGATACTTTAGTCTGCAAGTTCGAAGCGGAGTAGTGGTACCACTTTTGCATCTAGTGTCAATAATGAATAACTCCTGCATCTCTAGCAGATCAGGGAATGCATGTCAAAATTACAGGAGTGCTCAGTATACTTTGTTGTGGAGACACCACCATTCCTGTCATACACATGCCTGACCATGACTTTTAAAATCACAGAGCACACTTCAACAAATGATCTGTTACTCTGTTGCCTTTGTGCCTGAATCTTAGCTTTCCACTTTTGTAGTTGCATTGTTTGGACCCCTCCTTTGTTCCCGTGCCCGCCTGGTGCCCTTCCTAATCATAATTTGGACTAATAGTTACAAAGCATCTGGACTTTGTGTACTCACCTACATTTAATGTATGTACTTATTTGGTGACTAATTACATGTATGGCTATATTAATATCACTAGGCTCAGCCACACTAAAAGCTGACACAGCATCATGGGAAATGTAGTTCATAAACATCTGCAATGCCAGGGTTACCCCAAATGGCTGTACTTTTAACATCAGTATAACTCTCCAGGATCCTCAATTCTAGACATATGCTTTTGGCTTAAAATATCAGATTTTTATGGGGTTAGTAACCATATTCTACATTGTACCAGATTAAAAACTGAACAAAATGTAGGCTGCAAGTTGTGACTATAGCCAAATTGGAGATTTTTTTTTCAGATCAACTATTTTGCTTCAAGGGACACTCCACTCCCAAATAGAAAAAAAAATACAAATCGTGCATTTATTTACTGGGGATATAAACTACAGCCTTTGCAAGACCTCCCATCTTTCCATGGAAGATACTAACAGTCTTTTTGCAGGGAAATAGCCTGTCAGAGGCTACACATTAAATGGATGGCTCCAGGGGACTCCAGACACTGCAGGCACTATGAGATGAGCCAGTTATAGTGTGTTGATGTACTAGGCAAAAAATATTCTAGCTATCACTTCATTATTTTTATCATCATTACTATTATTACTAGCATTTATAAAGCACCAACATATTCCGCTGCACTGTAGGTGAGAGAAAAACAAAACCGTACAATATACATAGACCTACCTAGCCATTGAAGCTCTTTTATACAGTGCTTCGACAGATATCCTGTGAGCTTACTCAGGCCAATCAGGAAGCATTAGCTTGGATACTAATGGGCAGCTGTCAGCGAAATTACTCTCAGCCTATCACAGTATGGCTAGAATAAAGTGTGTGAGCCAAACCTCCACTGGGAGCAGCGATTTGGGAAGCCAGGGAACCTTATTTAGTGTTAAATGGTTTAAAACAGAAGGGCAGTAACAGGGACTACAACCAATTCAATGAGATGAAATGGTTATAGTTAGGATTACCAGATCCACCATGTTTTTAGGGACACACATATAATTTTGTCATATTTATTAAATCGCATGAAAAGGGTTTCCCTGCAGTATGTATAATGCATATTCTGCAGGATTCTTCATTGCCTAATTAATCTTATACACATTCTTCTGAATTCTACATACTATAGGGCAAACCTTTTTATGTGCTGCCCATATCTATATTTTTATATATATATATATATATATATATATATATATATATATATATATATATATATATATATATATATATATATATATATATATATATAGCATCCAAGTAGAGAGCACTCTGGAGTCTTCGTTTTATATCAAAATAAATACTGCTTTATTGGGCAGAATACAAAAATTTCGACGTTTCAGTCACAATAGACTTTTCTCAAGACCTTGGTATCCTCAAGACCTTGGTCTTGAGAAAAGTCTATTGTGACTGAAACGTTGACATTTTTGTATTCTGCACAATAAAGCAGTATTTATTTTGTTATAAAACGAAGACTCCAGAGTGCTCTCTACTTGGATGCTATATATTGGTCAGAGATTACTTGCACCGGAGCATGGAAAAGACCGGGAACATTGAGTGCTGGGACCTGGGAAGATATATATATATATATATATATATATATATATATATATATATATATATATATATATAATGTGTGTGTGTGTGTGTGTCCTGATACATGATGGATATGGTTACCCTAGTTATAATGCCTTTAGTGTCCCTTTAAAAGTGGCTTAATCAAGTCTTCCCTTCATGAATAGCTACACATCCACTATAGACAGATCACACATACTTATCTGCCTCAATATTTGAAATCATTAAACTTTTATTTAAGTTGCAATGCTGATAGATATGCAAAGCTTTGAAATTATCTTTTCTCTTGGAACCGCTTTGTACAAATGAAGGCGCTAGGACCTAGATCTACCAATAGATGGAGCCAAAGAATTAGGTTAAAAAAACACAAGGCAACTTGTTTAATTGTCAGAATACCACTTATTGCTGCCATAAAAATAGCCGTAGTCTGTTTAGCCAACCTGTATATCTGTTCAGTATCAGTAAAAAAAAAACCCATCTGATTATAGCCAGCAACAGTAAATGAGGTAACAGTCAAAGGAAGAGTGGTTGACCAGTCTACATACAGAGATGCCAAAGAAAGATTGGGCTAGAAGTATACAGGAGTGAATAAGACATGTTGGCACCGTGTGTGTGTGTGTGTATGAATATATATATATATATATATATATATATATATATATGTGTATATATATATATATTAGTTTTTTATTGTCAAAATTTACAGTCTTTCAGCTGTTTGCAATAATTTCCTGGGAATCTTAGTCTATTGCTCATAAGCAATGGCCTCCAGTTCAGTAATATTCTTGAGTTTGCATGCTGTAATGAAAATAAAAACTTCTAGCGCACTCCAAAAGATGATGCAAAAGAAGAAATATTTTATTCAATCAAGGCTTAATTATGTGTGATATCTAAATCCGATAAGTAACTAGTACCTCGTAATGGGGATATAATATAAATATTTCAGTTTTCA